CTTTTAAATTATACAACTAATACATTATGGGCGGGTGGGTGGGGTCAACTAAGTATAAACATTAAAGTGTCTTGCTAAAATTATGGGAAATTATTTTGCTACAAAAGAAATAAAATTCCAACTACTTAAATTATAAGCCGTATTTACCTATATAATATAAGAAATATGTGTTGTATTTATTTCAAAGCACATATTAAAAAAACTTATTTAGCCTTCACATTTTTTTTTTTACAAAGAAAAAACATTACTTCCAGTCGATAGACCATTAAGAATTATATACAGTATACACATGTAAGTAAAATAATAAAAAACCAGAAATATTATTTAATTCAGAATGACGTTGTAGCGATCAAGAAATGAATGATGAGACTAGTTTGACAAGATTTTTATGTTACAATAAAAACTTGATTATATTGGATATTTAAATGCGTGCAAATGCAGAATGCTAATTCGAAAAGAAATACAAGGAATGGTACATTGAAATTAAATATAACACAGTGTGATGAGCATAAGTACTAAAAAAAAAAAATCCCAAAAATTATGCACGGTTATTGGGTGAGCTTTTTTTTATATAGTTTACTCAATTTTTTTAAACCGTATTTTCGGGGAAAAAACGAAAAATCTATTTAAAATTCCATTTGATCGACTTCATATAGCTGTTTATATATCAATATTTAAATTAGATGCCAAATTGCAGAAAACGGCCGTTTATCTTTTAACCTTAATTTTTTTACGGTATACCCAATATATTAACCTATACTTTTTGGCTTGTTCGATCCATTTATTTTTTAAGCTAAATTTAATATATGATTTACTCGACAATTGTTTAAAAATAAAGATAATCACAATGAAGAGTTTAAAAAGGTACACACTTACTTTATTAGAACGTACATCCCATAATAGTATCAACTATACTATATATTTATGCAACTTATTAATATTACCTACCTAATTTGTTTAAATTCGTTCAAAATACATTTGTTATCCTTTTAATTGTTCACTAAACCCATTTTCATTAAAAACCGCTTTGAGTGTGATTATGTTGTGCCAATAATACTGAATACAATAAATGATTATCTATAATTTTATACCTATTATATTTTAATACACCCATTAGACAAGTCATGGTTTTAAATCACCGAAGAGTGTGATATTCTGTTTCGGCTATTGGCAACCTTGAGGTGACCGGGCTGCCTATTTTAAAACATCCATATATACTAAAAATAGTTGTTTTTAGGTTACCAAAGAGAAAAAAGATATTTATAACATTTATTTGAGGTAAAAAAAAAAGTCATTTCACGGTATTTCGATTCCTTGTAAAAATATAATATGAAAAAATGTTGACGATTTGGTAAATGTTGTTAAAATATTTAAAAAACAAATTATTTCTACGTGAAAAAATATGTTAGCTTCTTTTTTTCTTTCACTGATCAACGGGATCTCGCAAAAGCCTGTTATATATATATATACAAGTATACATAATGATAATACGCTTATTTTTTTTTTTTTTGAAAACATTTTTTTACACAAACTGAAGTGTCTCCAATTACCAAAACTACAAGAATTACAGGGTTTAGTAGCAAAGGCTGAAGAAGGTACTTGTATATTATTGTAAGGTGTATGTTTTACAACGGTATATTATTTTGTTTTCATTATCGATGAGCGAAAAGTAGTCAAAGTAAACGAGTGTAGCCAAATAACGGCTGAAAAAGTTTAATACTTTTTCTGGGGGTCTAAAAAAGGTGGACTTTTTAAACTTAAATGCAAACTTATACGCTCGATTTTCTTTTTAAATAAAGAATATTTTGCCGAAAATACAGAGCAATCTTTAGCAATAGATACAAACGGTGGCCTTAGTCGACAGTTGTTAAAGTATACTTATGATATGAGTTTTTTTTTTTTTTTTTTCGCGCTTCGGCTGACGATCACAAATATAAATTATGCGTCTTGGGACAAAATATATACTACAGGCAAATAGTGAAATGTAGTACGTAAATTTTTTTTTATTTAACTTACTAAAAGTTGTAACAGTAAATCATTGAAAAGCTCTCTTTATTGTAATTTAATACATAAAAAAAAAGGTAAAGGAAATATGTAAAAAAATTCAAAATTATGGAAAAACGCGATAAAATTAAATATCGTCATTAGCGGTTACAATTTATTAAATTTTTTAAATATAATTTGATTATCTCCAGAAAATATTTATGTCAACTGATTGTATAACGATATGAACACAGAACATTGTTGTGTCGCTTTAACAAGAATTAAATATATCTAGTACGGATACCTATTGACTTGGAATAATAGTTTCTGAAAAACCCTTAGAGATTAAACTATCCTTATCATCGTCATACTGGTTAAATTTGATTTGCCAATTTTCCATAACATTCTCACTCGCTACATTAATATAATATTAAGTTATAATTTAAATTTTATGATAACTAGTGCCGTCATTTGGGTAAAGGTGAAGTGGGCATAAATAGCCATTACCTAAGATGCTGGTGTCTGGCTGAGATTTAACTAAGTAGCTTAAAATTAAAACAACAAGCATCTGGTAGCAAAAATAATTGCAAAGTATTAAAATTAATCATTTGGGAGCAGGTTTAATCTTTAAATTGAATTTCCTCAAAAACATTATTCGTACTAATTGTATGCAATAATTATAGGCTAATTTTAAGTACATTATTGCGAGATTGATTATAGCTATAGTAAAGTTTTTAAACTATAAGACCTATTAGTTGAAAACATTTTTCATAATATTATGTGTCCATATCATATTGGACGAATAAAAAAATTCGGGATTACGTTTTTTTTTAATTGCCGGAAAACTGTTTTTCGCAGATGTTAAATGTTTAAAAAAAAATTATCAAATCATGCCAATATTTTAACTGATACTATTTAGAGTGGTCCCGGTAAGTTTTGAGTGCCCAAACATAAGTTTTAGTTTTTAATGACATTTTTTAAAAGTGATTTTATCACATTTAGTCAGTTTGGTCCAACTTAAGTCCCGACCCCAATTTTAACGGCTTTTCCCTTCTGAATATCCGTCGATAGCCATACTTAAGGTTAGGTTACTATTTGTTTTACAGACTATTACAGGCAGTAGTCGTACAATAACACAATATCTATGTGCGCGAATGGTATGTTAATAGTGTATCCGATTCGATAACATTTTCAAGTTTTGACGATTTGCTATAACTTTTGGATTTTCAAAGTGTAAAAAGTAACACTAATGTGCAAAAGAAAACAAAAAAAAAAAATTGGAAATTCAAACACTGACAATTTTATACATTGTTTTTGTCGTTAGATCGACGTTTTTTTCTGCCTAAAATGTATGAATATTTATCGATGGAAAAAAAATGTACTCAGACATTCTCATGTGTGCGCAAGTGCCGAAATTTTATGTTTTTTGAAAATATTTTCGATTTATTATAGCCTTAGCATTTTCAATATAAAATGTGCTATCAACCAAATCGCACATGGAAAAACCGAAATGTTGACAACCCCCACCCCCCTGCGAGAAAGGTTGACATATTTTTGTCGCATTTTTAATATTTAAGAACCGATAATTAGTCTGAAGATAGGTCTAACAAACAACATAAAACACCAGTGTAGTGTATGAATAGGACGTTTACCTTTTTTGTTTTTTAATTCTGTAATTCGATTTAAAGTTTTTTTTTTTTTTTGTAGATCAAAGTAGGGCAACGAATGATACAAACTTTGGTTATATATTTTATTAAATCACATAGTCATCTTAAGTACGGGGAGTCCAATCATAGTCATCGCGTTGACGATAAGGAATATTGTCAGTGGTATAGTGTCAAAATAATATTTATCGAAAAATATAAGAAAAACAGTAAACTCAACTCACACTTTGGTCATACAATTGCAAATACAGCTATACGTTTACAAAAACTTTTCTAACAATAAATTGAAATAATTTATAAATCGCATTGGCCTAAAAATGAAACCACCGATTTGTTGGAAATTTACCACGAACTTTTGGTGTCACCGCATTAATAAATATTTTAATATTGAGTAGAATACAAAGTAATGAGCGTTTTTAAAGTTGTTAGATCAATTTTATAACTTTGATGTGGAGCAGCAATGCTATTGGTTTTTGCAATGATGTGAGCTTTTTTTTTTTGTGTCTGTATACATTGTAACTTTTTAACACTGGACCAATTCTTTTGTGTGGCAACTCTATAAATCACAAAACGTATCTACTTGGTATTGAGTCGGATCGATTTGAAATTAAAGTTTCAACATTTGCTGGCTCTAATTTGTATTTATTAAATAAAACATCAGGGTATGGTATATTATTCTTGAAAACTAATTTGTCCAAAACATTATTGCATTTTTTTATATATTCTACGGCTGTTTTTTTTTTTTTTGGTTACATCGAGATGCAAAAGTCAAACTACGGAAGCATATGACATGTGTTTTGCGTATATTTGATTAAGCCAAGGTTAGACGATAAAAGGTGTAAACACCAACGGTAAAAAAAAACCATAGTAAACCTATGTAAAAAAATACTTCAAGTATTATAATATTTGCAAAACACCCATGATGCTCAACATATTTCATCTTAATTCTATTTAAAGTATTAATCACGTTTTCTCGAAAAATAAAATGCACATTAACCATTATAACAATATATTAAAACTCGTTTTCTTCATAGCAATAGTATATAAGTGATTCATGAATTAAATAAGCCGTTGTCCAATTATTAGAATAACGGTGCCCGTGGGGTAGGTAAAAGGTGTTAGGTGAAAAAAAATGTGCGCGATAACGGGGTTGAATATAATAATAAGGAGAGAATTGATTGTAAAACACGTTTTGTGTTTACTGTAAAAGTTATTCATATACTACACCACATTTTTACTTCAACTTTAAATTGCCAATCTTGAAATTTCATTGTTTCTAACAGAATTATTCGAATAACTTTTCGAAAATGTACACAACAGTAAACTATACCTATTATGAAAATATTATATTACCAAGTCATCGGCCAGTATGATGACAATGTTTGGCTTGGACAACTGCGGACGGCCGAACGGTAGCTGAGACGCCAACAGCACCACCAACGAGACCAACGCGTTCGCGGTCCGCACACTGTTCGGCGACGGACGTTCCATGGTGTTCGACACTGTGCACGACAACACTGTGCAATTGCAATGTTCGGTCTGGTCCGCGGTCGACGTTTGCCAGCGACGAACTGTGTACTGCCCGAAAAATCACGTGTAACCGTCGCCGCCGCCGCCGCCACACCGCTATATTGGCAAGTGTGGAAAACGGTTTTTATTATATTTTTTTTGTGCCCAACAGAGCTTCGGTCTTGTTCGGTTAGTACAGGTGTACTCGGGTAAGTACCGTTTTGCATATGAAAAAAAACAAACCGTAAATTTGGTAAACATGTTTTTTATTTGAACACCCTTCGATTTTACTGTTAACCGATATAATATAATATTATATACATACTCATCAAACGGAAAACTTCCCACACACACACACACACCAATACGTACATGTATTATAATACCACCGACACAATGCGCAATGATATTATTGTATTATCGTTGAAATCGTGATGGCTTCTCTCTATTTTTTTTTTTTATTGCTACCTAAAACAGCGCAAAAATATTTGTGTCGGTCACAAGTAAACGCGCGTTAAAAAAAGAACCAAAAAAAATAACCTAGTCATTTTTTCCGGCCCGCGGAAAAACATTGAATCGTGGATATTACGTTATCTCTTATCTCTTATCACTTATCATTTATATCGTACCTCTTATCTCTAATCTCAAAGTGTAACGCGACAATGGCGACACGAAATTTCTTCTATCCAGCCCACTAACATATTATTATCCATGTTAAAAAAGTCTAAGAGGTAGGCTGATGGAAAATTGTTATACTAAAAATGTTTATTGGTTAATTAGGTACCAGTTTGCACAAGTATTTTTAAAGTCACAATTGTTTAAAAGTTAGAATTGTGAAAAATTGAGATCACATTGAATAAGAACACTAGGGAAAAAAACTAAATTTCTTATTGAATTCTATGTGATATTGTGCGGTTCGCGATAAAATTATCACCCTGTATACATCAGTTGTGGTTAATGTATTAATACGTTTTTTTTTTTGTTAACTCTCTGTGTACTAATTTAGCCGGCCTTTCACTTGTTACCATATTATCCACGTAGCTTTTCTTTTAAAAATAAATCCTCATGATATTTTGTCTTTTTAAAATACCTGATCTGATAGAGTTTCGTGATTATGATCTGACATACATTTTTTGCAATGCCCACAGATAACAACTACGCCGACACCCGTCAAACGAGGTTAATTTGTCATATTATTTTGTTGGATTGAAAAGTATTACAGCATAAAATACTATTATTATAAAACAATGGTTAATAAACATTTTCAAAAAATCAGATATTCTTGGAAGACAATCCGGAAAAAACTCATTTATTTCCTAACGCGTGAGGCAACTAGAACTTTTTAACCGAAATTTACTGATAAGAAATAAAGGTTACGGGAAGCAATTCGGATATCCTTGGGAGGCAACTAGTAGTTTATGACTCTAAAAGTTTTAGATAACTATTTTTGAAGTTATTTAAGTTTCAAGTTTAAGGCAAGAGGAAAGTATTATTTTTATATGGACACACTTTCCCTCCTGTCCTAATTTTTAAACTCTTATAATTTTAAAAATAGTGGTTGAAAATTGGTTATCAACCAGTCAACATTTCTGGTAAAATATTTTTAATTTAAAAAGTTAATAAAATATATATACGTTACTATTTAAGTTTCAAAAGTTACTATTAAAAAAATTAATTTGGGAGGGGAATATAAAAATTAGAGGAAAATTGTAATAACATTACATAAAAATACTATGAAAAAAATTAAATTATTTATTAAGCCCAGTGATCAAAAAATCAACCTGTATATAATATATCCATACTGTTGCACTGAAACCCCCGTTATAGATGTCGCATAAAATATATACTCCTTTGGTAGGTAATCAAAAAATGAAAAAGATACACTTTAGTATTGGGTAACATTATTGGGAAAAAATTATGTAATTGGAAAACAAATTTAATAACATAATGTTATGACACAAAGACATACATAAAGGACATCGATATAAAACTAAAATATAATATTTTGGATTTGTATTTCAAAATAATTGTATAATGTTAACAATGGAAAAAAACAAAATAAAATACACTTGTAATGGATTTATAAATATTTTGAATATTTTTTATAAAAACTAAAAAAAGTGTAACAATACAACTTTCGAGCACAAAGCTTATTTTCTGTCAATTTCATTTGAATTAAAGTAAATTCGGTAATTAAAAAAAAAATAATCCTGTTTAATGGTTTGAGATAATTACTGCGATTAATCTATTTTTAGTAATATTATATCTTTATTTTTAAATTCTAAATGTAAATGTAGCTATTTGCATAAATAATCAATATATACTACAAAATGTTGACACTGATTACCAATAAGATTATACTTAAGAGTGTATTCGTGATTTTTTTTTTTAATATTGGACATAGGGAAAAGGGTAAGTTTTAAAGAAAAATTAAACTAAAATAATCAAATAACGATTGAATGTACATTGAAAAGTACAGAATCGCAGTTAAAAAAACGTACTTAGAGAGGCAGAACGGTGCAAATAGACTTACTTTAGTGTTTATAATAAGCATCCAAAGTTTTAGTAAAAATCGACATTTGAGTGATTGTTTTCTATACATTTTTGTAGTAATCAAAATATTTTATTTTGATAAAAATAAAATATTTTGAGGGGTTCCTCCCCCCTCCCCAAATAAAGTTGTGATAGTGAAAGATGGTTAAGTCGAGTTGAGTTGTGTTTGATTAGAATAGGTTAGGTTTTGGTTGCATTTATGTCATTATCGAAAATTCTTTAAGGAGTCTTAACCAAACCTAAATTTACCCAGTGAAGTTCTAACACTTAAAAACTGGTGGTATAACATTCATGTTAAATTCACCATTGTTTGCATAGTTTTAAACGCGTTTATAGACAGTAAAATAGACAGGGAGCAACTTATACTTAAATTTGATTTTTCGTCCATAGTTGAGCTACAATTATTATTTATTTAATTATACTTTTTAGTCTATAAATTAGCATGGTAACTAAAATTAACAATAGAAATAAAACTATGGAATTATATATTTTCTTCCAAACACAATCTTATTTCCATGTAAATGAATTAGTTTTAATAGTATTAATTAATTTTTGATTATTTTTTAGCCTTTTTGGAAACTAAAAGTATATTTTGAAACAACATTTTTTAGGAAGGACAATATTTTATATATTTTTTTTTTACTGTAGTAGTTGATGGGGCAAGCTGGTTTGATAGGTATTACAGATAATTGCCATAGAAAAGGGGCCATGTCGAATTTTTTAGACACGACCATGTTGACCAAGACATTACACTGAACGAGACATCATTCGATTTACTGTAACTGTGACTTCTAGGTATCTGTTGGTCGAACGAAAAACACAACATTGTTTATGTTTATGAAATAAATTACAATGCATTGTAATTTATTTCATATATATATATATATATATATATTACCTTAATTACCTTAGTTATTTTGCATAACAAACAGTAGCTTATTTATGTACAATAATTGACCGAGAAAGTAAATTATTATAAATTATAATAACCGAATGAAAAACAAATAAACTAATGTTTTACAAAAAAAAAAATTTGTAATAAACTGTAATGATTTTTTCTGATGTGTTTCTTCTTTATTGTTCACGGTTTATTTTCTTTTTAAAAAAGAGAAAATCATTTTCGATCCGAAGACGTTCGTTGCTGTGTTATTATTATACATAATAAAATATTGACAACCGTCATAACTCATAACCGTGTAAAAGAAAATGGTCGACATACTCCACAAGTACCTACTGCGAGTCGTGAAGACCAATAATAATTATTATACTACCTATGTAAAAAAAAATTTTCCATAACATATAATGACTATTATATTTTTGTTACGTTTTTTTTTTTTATGTAATTTATTTGTTTTCAGGTCATTTTTTCCACGTTGGCTCTCAAAAAATTATACCTATGGCTAGACCAAAGTTATACACGATTATATAAACCGTTTATGTTGGGGATTTATTTTTTTTTATTAATATCCGTTAAATATACTGTAAAAAACGTCACACGCTGTTCTACTGAAAAATAATGTAGGTAAATCAAAGTAGGTTTGTTCAAAACATTCATCTACCGAAGCCCTGTAGTATAAGACAAATGCAAATTGGGCACTTTAATATTTGTTGAGTAAGACAAAAACATTTTCATTGATTTCAAATTTTAATCATATGCATAGGTTAGGTTTAGGTTAGGTATTATACTCGTTAGTCAATAATCTATGTATAATGATTAGTTGAATTTGTTTGAATAGTTTGAACAGTATCCTAACCTAACCGTACATTTTAAATTTAGATAAACAAACCTGTATATTTATATATAAAGCTTATAGGTCTAAAATAAATAAACAAAATAATATGGCAGTCCTGTAAAATATGTGTCTATTGACTTTGACTCAACGGGAACTGTCAATAAACCAAAAACCCCGAGTCAAAACTATAGAAAATACATATTATTAAAATAATAATAATGTCAATGTATACACATGGTGTAATACTCGGTATTTTATTATATTAATAAAATACTGACATGACCTAATAATTTTGTTCTATGCTATAGCGTTTTTATGTTAAAATAAACAACATTGGCAAAAAAATTCAATTTTTTTTTTGTTTCAATGTATTGCTAATTTAAAAAAAATTAGAAAAAACTATACTAGATTACAACAATTAATTTAAACATTGATCTATGACGTGGTAGTTATACTTAAGGAATCGATACACTAGGATTTATTAAGGTGCATTGTGTAGGCAATTTTTTCACTAAAACTAGACATTAAGCTACCATTTTTAAACATATAAATGCACACAAATGAGGTATCCGTTTTGATATTAAATTTTTTTCTCAACCTTTATAGCACATACTATATAGGCCCTATCGACGGAATATTCATCAAAAGCTATGTTGACATCTTGAACATCCATTTGGAAAACTTAAGCGATACTAATTAAGTACGAATGTGTTTTCTCTTAATTATAAATTGTATTATTTACAACAGTATCGAGACAGATTATACTTTTAAAAATTGTTTATTTATTTTTATAATTTCAAAAGAATAAAATAACATAAACAACCAACATACCGCGATTGGTTAGATTTGTATTTATTTTGACAAAGTTTTGTTATACATATTTTTAGAAAACAATACAGCTAAATTTTTCTGTTAAATGTATATATTACAAATGAGTTAAAAGTTGTGCATTATTAGTCTTTTTTATTTAACTCAATGCAATTGTGTGTGTTTTGTTGAATCTGCAATGCACAACACTATTATTGTAATAATATTATATTACAGCTTACCCTAATTTTTATACATCAATTTAATTAAATTTATAAACAAATAAATTGGTTTTGACCGATTAAAAAGGGTCAAAAATAATTTAAAATAATATTTATCTCAAAATTAAAAAAAAAAAAATGAACACCTACACAATACAATTTTAACACGAATGATTTTTATTTAATGAAATAAATAAATAGATAGCTTGTTTCGGTCGTTAATTTGTTAAAAGAGTTGAAATTATTAGAGCCAGCAACAATTTAAATAAACAATCGCTGGCAACACATTATTTAACAAAGTTGCCAATTATTAAACGATTGTCTACCACACATATATTTTTAAGTATTATAATTTTTGTAGAAAAATTCAATTAAATATTGTTGTGGTTATTTGACCTATATTATAGTGAATTCAACATTTTAACACTCATATGATTGACGCCTTTGGCTTTTGCAATCTATTCTAAGTCATCATATTGTAACTTAAGCAAATAAAAAATATGCATAGGTGTATAATTTGTGAGTACTTTGTTGCAATTGTATTTCTTAAACCGAGCGAAGCCGGTTACACGGGCAGCTAGTATTTGTATATTATTAAGTACACACATTTTAGCATAACGTCAAGTGTTGGTGAAAAATTGCCTATACAATGCGCCTTAATAAATATTAGTTGTGGTAGTTAAGTATAACAGCTACCGCATGGATCAATATTTAAAAGAATTGTTGAAAATTAGTTTAGTTTTTTCTAGGTTCTTTTAAATCATCAATACATTGATAAATCAATGGAGTTTTTGGCTTTGATATAAACTTTACCATACAGTTATCTACTATATTTACGTTGAGCTTATTTTTATCTAATTAAAATATAGTGTAAAATATTATTTATTTCGAACTATCAGTCAAAATAAATAATTTTAATAATGGTTTTTTTTTTTTATATAACACATTTCCTTAATTTGATTGTATGTACCTACCTAGTAAATGAACATGTAGTTTGTACTTTATGCGTTTATGCCAGATTATTCTATGAAATTTTATTTTAGTTTAGTTTTTCATTCATACAAAACTGTGTCTTGTCATAGATATATAAAATAACAATGTTCTACTTATATAATAAATAGATATTACCTATGGGCAATATAGAGTTTTTATAGAGGGAAACAGCTGGAACCAAGAGGTTTTTTAAATGGTGTCTAGTTGTAGTGTAGTAATAACCAACGTAGAAAACCTAGCTGTACTGAATCCTAATTTCTACATATTATATTTGTATATTAACATAATATTTTATAAACTTATAAAACCCAAAAAATCAGATGGCTAAAATTAAATTGTTCTCTAAAAAATGCAAATAACAACCAACAATTTTAAAGATATGATAAACTTGTCGTGGCGTTAACACGAAATTCACAAAATATTTGAAAGTCGCATTTTAGTAAATCGAAAAAAACCGTTGCAATTCGCCTATTTTTTACGGTACTTATTTAAATTTTACAAGACTGTATATTTTATATTGTATTTTAGTCGTTTAATTATGAATTATTTAAGCGAATAAAAAATGTTTAATTATTATTTTACTCGAAATTGGTTAAGGAATAATAATAATTGGATGTTAATACATACCTTCTGTGTGCACTTGTCACTGGTTACGGCCTGTGGATATTACATAATATAGCCGGTGTATTATACATTTAAAGAAAAAAATTATATATATATATATATACAACTATTTTGTCTATACAATGGACAGCGTTATGATTTATGGCCGTGACATTTAGATTGAGCCCGTGTAGCTGTGTGTGTCAGTGTGTCGAGGAGCCGCGGTCGTGGTGGTATAGTGAAAACGACCGCGTTTTTGTTTCTCTTCCATGAGCACGTCTCGGCGTTATCACTTCGGTGCGGTGTTATCAATGTTTTGGTCTTGACAACGAGTTATTCCAGTTATTCCGATTGGCACACGACAGAACATTTATTTTGAATGACGACGGGAAATGAAATCGGTTTTTGCATTTAATTAACAATTACTGTACTCTTATAATTAGCCTTATCGAGATTTCCTCGCCGTTTTCCCGTTGCTCTCTGTACGTTTCAATTGCTTTTGTGCGCACGGTTGTTCTTTGATGTTGTTTGATGCGGACGAGTCGGATGACGCCGCAATAGCTGTTTCTTAGAGTTATTTTAAAATTATTGCACCTATGAGTTTTAACTTGATACCCGTCAATCGCGCATTTGTGTATTTTATATTGACCAGTATATTTTTCAGGTAAGTCGCAGTTTTTTGTCGCCTCCTATTATATAGTCTTATATATTTGTTGTACGTATCGACAATATTATCGTGATGGTTACGAGCAGAGTGTAAAAAAAATACAATCATATTAATATTTTGTCACAATCAAATAAAACCATATTATTCTATTCCATCATGATACAGTCGAAGCTAACATTTCAAGTACTCGCTTTCTGGTCTGTCAGACGATTCTTATTTTTGACATCAGTTCTTCACACTATCGCAATCAAGTTCATTAGGAAAAACATTCTTTAATAATTGTATAAATTATGTTTTGTTGGACTCGTACAAATTCATATGGATTTATTATCAATAAATGATTAGAGCATAATTTACTTACATTTAGTAAATGTGAAATGTATAGCTAATGTTGCATCATCCAAGTTAATTTGTTGTTGGTTAGCTAAGTGAAATTTTGAATAAACGCCTAATATGATTATGTTCTATTTAAATCTTATCTTTACTAATTAAAAAAACAAACAATTACACATTTTTTACTTGTCATATCTAATATAATTACTTAACAAGTATTTTGCTTCCTGTAATATTAGCTTCTTAATCGTTTCGTACATTTTTTTTGTGTAATAAATTAATATAAATAAAAATACTAATAATTTGTATTCTATTTGCTTATATAATTATATATTTATAATTTTATTTGTTTTAGACCATTAATATTAACAGAAAATGGAAGTCACGTAATTGAAGATTTCGATTTAGTAAACGAGAACAATGAGCCATCCATATTCCTACAAAAAGTAAATATTTTCATTTAAAAATAAATATTTCAAAAGTCAGCGGTAGAATGCGACTGTCCATTTGCGCTCAACAATTATATGGTGTTCGGATAAAAAGTTTTTAATCCAAATGAATTTTATTTTACCCCTAAACAAGGATTATTTTTATTTATTAAGTTAAAGGTGTTAAGTCCATAAATTGGGTAAATTGAATTAAGTACAGAGTACTTAATTTATAAAAAAAATTTTCTTTAGGGGTGAAGTGAAATAGTTGTATAATTTTGGACTTGAGATAGAGTTGTCAATTGTTCAAATGTATAGACCGGGAAATAAAAATTATATTCATTTTATCCTCCACTCGAATGTTTTTTTAACAGTAAATAATACTATAATCAGTATATATACTGAAATATAACAAAGTAAATTATGTAATAAAGTTTTTTTTTATTGTATTGTTTTACATTGAAATACTTTGGTGGTGTGTATAACAGCAATTTTTACACTGTATCGGAGTAAATGCAATAGGATAGCTCTATTATATAGATTTACTCCAATAAGAATAAGAATGTCAAATGTGCTCAGCCACCCATATAACAACATTGACAACACTATTGTATGCAGCATGTGCTAATAAATCCTTATATTTACATCATATAGTGAGCATAGTTATTATTTTCGACATTTATATGAAACGGTATTGTATACATTGAGTACATATTCTGTTTGGTTATACATGTATATTACAGTAGACTTCGATAACAATATTTTGTTACGTACAATAATTATTGAACATACTCAACACAACTCGGAACTCACTTTTAGAAACCGATACTTGTCCTTTCACCCGACCACTACAGAATTGATTCACTTAGAAGGGGGAGGTAACGTTACAAATTAGAATATCAAACAATATTTGTGTACGCAACATTTTTATACGTACGTGTAACTGATGTATCTACGTAAAACAATTTTTTTTTTTTAAAGAAAATATATATAAATATTAATAACTGTTAATGAGATGTGGTGCAGATAAAATTTTTTTTTTTTTTTCAGACTGCTGATTTCAGTAATGCGGGAAAAACGTACAACTACAAACGTAGATGGAAAAGTGTCCTACTCGTAGCAAACACTTGTACCAAAAATGTTTTCATGCCCGAATTCTTAACAAACGACAGCTTAAATGAAAGGTATATACTTTTATTTCACGTTGTGTTCGATGTATTATTTCGAGAATAATTTTTACTAAAACTTATTACAGATTATTATCAAATATAAGTGATAGTTTGACACATGATGTACCATTAAGTACGATATTTATGACCAAAGATAATATTAGTGCACATTATGACGAAAGTGACTTTGTTAAAACCGATGTGTTAGAACACCATGGCGGGGGAAATCAGTCGGAGAATGCGACCGGATCTGTTCGTAATGTTACCGTTAACGAAGATATACCGTCCTTTAGAGAATGGACGAAAAAACAGTTGGAAGAGGCCGAAAAGCAACCTGGTAAAATATCGATAAATGTTGAATGTGTAAGTGTAAATTATGATGGTATAATGCGTGTTTTAGCTGTTAACGAGACAAAATTTAAACGTGAGAATAAAATTTTGAAAAAAAACTATGCGTCTCCGGAGTGTGGCGCTAAAGTTGTTTCGACCAACCCAGAAGCCATGTACCCATATCTGTTGCTGACGTTGCCGACCGACGAGTACATGCTGAATTTGTGCAAAAGTACGACTTGGTTTGTAGTCGAACTTTGTGAAGCTATACAAGTGAAAAAAGTAAATAAATAATTTATTTTTGTTAAAAAAGAAAAAACTAATTCTAATTCATCGCTGATAAAACTGACTTATTAAGTTTTTCTGTTTTCATGTTTTACTCTTAGATTGAATTGGCAAATTTCGAGCTGTTTTCATCGACTCCAAAGGATTTTTCCGTTTATGTCGCAACTCGGCTGAACGCTCGCAACTGGACACCAATAGCACGGCTCGTTGCAGAAGACGTTCGTACGTTACAGGGTTTTCATTTAAACACGACCGACGACAATGCATTCACCAAGTATATTAAAGTCGAGATACATTCCCACTACGGGAAAGAACATTACTGTCCAATATCTGTGTTCAATGCTTACGGTTTATCAGAATTCGAGGTAAATTGTAATTACTTTTTTTCTTTAGTTCCATCTGTTATAAATTCTGTTTAAAATTATTGACTTTTTGTTTCGATTCCAGGCCTTAGAAAGAGCAGACGATCCAGGACTGGAAAGTCAAAATGCTGAAAGCGAAGATGTCGACGATCTAGACATAGAAGATGAAAACGTCGATTCCGATCAGCCGAATAAAAATACTACAAACAGCAAAAACACCTTGCTCGATAGCGCTAGAGTCGCCGTTATGTCGATCGTCAAAATAGCTACCAACGTGCTGGACATGAGGCAAAAACCTACGTGTGACGTTCCACCGTGCAGTTTCAACAAATCCACCGAAAACCCTACGGAGGAAATGCTACCGTCAAATTGTATAACTCCGGGTTATATCATGGTGTGCCACGGATGCGACGACGCTTTCTATAAAAAGTAACGTATTTTAATGTTATTAAATAAAATCAGAGTTGTGCAAACGTTTTTAATGGAGAATAACTGTGTAGTGAATAATGATAATGCCCTCTCTAATCTCTGATTGAAATTGTCTTAAGTATGTTCTTTGTTTTTTTTTTACAGAATGTTTGACACTATCAGCTGTGAAGCGGACCATTTGACCGAACTGTATCGTAATAAATATATACATGACACAATTATGAACAGCGGAGTTTGTACAGAATACGGACTCGACCTCTTGACGTTGAAAAACAAAGTGCGACAAAAAAATAAATCGTTTATAGGCAAACGAAGCGAAACGTTTTTACTGTCGATATTTCCACGGGTCAAAATTGCAGCGCTGTGCAACACGCTTGCAATTGTGCACAAAAAAATTGTATTGAACAAAGCCAAACGCGTTTACATTAGCGACAATCTAATTATCAACTTGCAAACCGCTGTGCCGGAATTGAATTCGCAAAACAACAGTAATAACAACTCGAATCAACAACAAACTGACGATTCGTCCGAAGTCACTACGCCTCTTGAAAGCAAGTCGTCAACACTGGATTTATCCAGTTTCATTGAACCTTTGGTGTCACAAATATTGCCCACTAAAACCTTGGCCAACACCGAAGAACCTGTGATATCATTAAGTCATCAAATGAAGGAAACGGCTAACGTTCATGTTGAAAATCTCACAGTCGATACGCCTTCTGATCCGGAACCCAACGCAACTAACGAATCGCCGATGCCGAGTTCGACGCAATGTAATACTCCTGCTAAAAAATTACGTAGAAACGACATGACGAAATAACATAATCATTTATTGTTTTTTTTTTTTTTTTTTTTTGTACATAGATCTGGCCAATTCCATCATCGACAAACCCATTATAGCCGAAGTACAAAATTCTCTCGAAGAAAACGCAACCAGTGAAGCAAAAGCCGCCAGCGAACAACCAGCCGACAACTTTGACAGTTTTTTCAAGGATTTCGAAGCTGAAGAAAGTGAAAGCGATAAGTGTAACCCGACAACGTCGGAGTCCTCCGTCCACTATACCACTGTACAACAGTCTTCGGTTCAGTCGCAAAACACCAAACAGTCGTTGTTCATTCGTTTGGCCAATCGCATTAAGGTGGTGTTCTAAAACTAACTAATCTCGATCGCATTGACGGTTTCTATTAAACAATTACTAATTTTGTTGCCCGAATAGGATTTGGAACGTAACATGTCGCTGAGCGGCGAGTACTTACAAGAGTTAAGCACGCGTTACAAAAAACAAGTTGACGACATGCAACGAACAATTTTAGAGTTGGCCGAGGAGAACCGACTGAAGAGGGAACAAGACTTTAAAATTTTTGGGGAAATGAAAATCCTCAGCGAACAAGTGGCCACTCTCCAGAGTACCTTGCATTGTTTGAAAGCGGAAACTGAAAATTTAAATATTGTAAATTTGTTTTCCATCTTTCCAGTTAACAAATAATTTATCCGTTACGGTTGCGATAACGCTTTGCGATCTCGTCATTTCAGGTGTCATTGTTTCTGTCGGAAAACCACCCATTCACGGTCATGGTGCTTTGCCTGATAGTCATCGTTTATACGACACTCAGAATGTTGGGTTACCTGGGAAAGCGAGGTAAAGAGCTTGAATGGGACAACTCGATAAAGGCTTCGAACACACGCAGGCAATCCACCAACGATATTCTGTCGAACATTAAAGAGAAACATAGACGGCCTAGTGAAGAAGCGTTGTTCTCTTCAGGTACATCTTTAATATACGTTTCAACAGTAGTACAGACAGTTTTTGCAATTTTTTTTTTTTTTTGTTCGCAGGGACAACTCATCAGGATTTATTAATTAGAAATAGTAACGGCGATAACGTGAAAACCGAACGTAAACGAAGGAGAAAACGTAAGGAACTAATTCTGAAATCAAAGTCAAACGCTATAAATTTGGAAGCCGGTGGCATGGACAACGGCGGTAACATTAAATTACAATCGACGGCAAGCCACAACAAATTGCCTAGAAGTGCCTCTTCTTCGGATCTCACTGTGTGCAATAGTAGCAGTCATGATTTCATGAAAACGGCATTGTCGGTACGGACGATCAGGATGTCGTCGAGCTCAATGCAAAGCGACAAAAGTTTTGCGGCGAACACCAATAAGAACACAACGGAAATAAAATCTAAGAGTATTAAACATTTTCTGAAAAGAATGTTTTAACTTAATATTAAAGTAAGTGGTGACTGAAGTGTTGGTTTAACTATTGTTAACTATTTTTAAATATTGTTATAATTATTGTTTTTTTTTTTTCGGTATTGTGGAACTAGTGTAAAAAGTATAATAAATAAAAATATAATAATATTGTCGTAATAAAAGTATTTTAACGCAAAAAACGTGGTTGGCCTAACCTACTGCTAACTGATTTGTTTTTTTTTTTTTTTTACTTTTTGCGTTGGTTAATTTGAATGTATTGTACAATGTTGTTCCAGAAGACTGTATCGGATTTCTAATTGTTTTACCAAGTTTAGACCTACTATGTTGTTCCTACTGACGGTTGTGTAAATGTATAATGGAAACGATAACAAGTGAAAATGTTTATAATTATTACTTGACGATAGCCGTATAAAATGATTAAAGTCAATTGAAATTATTTAAACTGGTAATATTATATACTGTATAATATAAAATATGTATCAATTGGCTATTGAGGATATTTCTATACGAATATTGTTCTTTTGTAATGATTTATTTTATTATAATCTCCTCTAATGATTGTTTGTTATAAAAAATACTAACGTTAACAATACTTTGATTAATTAATTAAACTATTTCTTTTCACCAAAGGCCATGTCACCTTCTCACTATGGTTGTAGCTAACTCGAGTGTTTGGTTATTTGTACGGTTGGTGTGTAGCATAACAACGCTTTGCCGGATAGACAACCTTAGATTTTTTACTTAAAACTTTACTTTCTAAAATGACAATTAAAAATGTGTGAATTAAACTCTATTAAGTGATGTAATATTGCCCGGGTTAAGTGAAACCAAAGTTGAAGGAAACGACACATAAATTAATTGGAAAATGAGGATTTTATACAGATTACACAGTTGTAGCTTTGATTTGAACATACATATTTTTAATTTATTTTAAAATCACTAATATTTTAATTTTTAATTTTTTTACAATTTCTTCTACAAACATTTACTCTTAATACTCTTACACTAAAACCATACAAACGATTTTTTGTAATAATAATAATCTAAAAACTAACACAATCTTACGACGGTTATAACAATAATAATGTTAATATTATGTCGGTATATGTTTTGTGAAATAATGTTATATATTTATACTTGTGATTGTATATGATTTGTTAAACCGCTAAAAATCTAATGTTTAAAAGAACAAAATATCTTCACTGATGGAGTAATGTGCATTTATTAATATAATAATATAAACTATAAGTACAGGTGATGATATTATGAGCATTAACCTACCGGTGAAAGAAAAAAAATAAAAGTCTAGAAGATTACAATATATTAACAAGACCGGCCAAGGCGGGGTACCTTGACGATACACAAGCGGATTATGGCACAGCGGCCTTTAGCCAGGTCCGTTTGAGAAATGAAATAAAAAAAGAATAGTAAGACTTAAAAATTACAAAAAAAAAAAAAAAATTACCTATCGTCTAAACGTGTAGTCGAAGATGAAAATGATTGAATGTGAATAACCAACAAATACAATGTTAACGCGGATTGTTTTGTTTTTTTTAGCCAATATGGTCAATAATGCGATTTGTGAATGATGAAATGGTATAGTTACTTTTTAACAAGATGGTGGTAAGTTCATAAAAGTTTTAATAAAAAGGAATAAAATAATAATAATTTTTTTTTTAAAGGCGCGTTATTTAAAATTACCTACCTACATGTACAATATTGTATTTTATTTAATGTAAGACCTACACAATAGCGTCGAATGTTTTGTAACAACAATAATAATGATATGATAATAATTATTATCGTTGTCACATTGAGCAACAAGTTGTAATTCGTTTACGACTAATTAGTCCTGCATTATCTAATATATAATAATTTTGTGTTTATTACATAACATAATGGAGCGAATTAGCGAAAGAATATAAAATAAAAAGGCCTAATTATCAATAAAACATTGGTAATATTATGATTAACGTGGCTCTACCTACCTACAAGTTCGACCGATCTAATAAATTAAACTAATAAAATAATAATTATATTTTTACAAAACGATATTATTATGCATGCCAGTAGTTTTAGACGATGATGATAATAATTATTTTGATTTTTTTTTTATCAACTTTTTTCCCGTTCGACCAGCCAAGTGAAATCATACATAATTGGTATGTGTGTACGTTAATATTATTATATACATTTTTATTTTCAATCTGTTGACATGCATTCGAATAAGCTCATCTTGGCGGTCGGTTACCGTTTTTTTTTTTTTTTTTGGCACATAGTCTAACAAAACATATTTTATTATTATTGTGTTTACATATTCTAATACATACATCAACATCATAATAATATCGTACATGAAAATACTGTCAAAAAAATATTTATATATATTATAATATATATAAATTATATATTATAATATTTATAGTAATACTAATATGTACATATGATTATTCTTAGGCGTATAAAATATATAATATTGGCTATTTAATATTTTGATTTCGTTAAAAAAAAAAAAAAAAATGAAAGAAGAAAAATGAAATGAAATTTACATTCGCATAAATTTTAAAGTTTACACGATGGCCATAAATATACAGTCCGCCTAATATAATAATATTATGTTATATTGTTGCGATAATATATTACATTAATTATTAAATGTCGGCTATCGTTTTTGACTTTGTCTTTTTTTCTTTCCTTTTTTTTTTTTTTGTTTTGTGTGTAATGCACGTATACAACATATAATATGTTTCGTTAAGGTTTAATATAATTGTCATGACTAAAATTGGGTCGCACGTAGGTAATAAATTATTACACTGGAGTCGTCGGGGCTGTCCGCGCTCAGATCAGAGATGTAATCAATCTAGCCTTGAAGTTCACTATCCGTTCGGTGGTCTGGGCCAATCGCTGAAAAATCACAAACAAAATTGCGATTAAATTATCGCGTTGGGAGATAAAGAAGGCGTTGGCACAGGCGGTAGACAGAGCAGGATGATTTCAGTAAAATCAGTCGTGCCACAGAATGCAGGAAGATTGAAGAAGATGTGACTAGAAGTGTGGTTTGATGGAGAAAATTTAAGGGGGAAATGTCTGTAGTCAGGCCAGCGCTGGTACATGCTGCAATTTGGTATTGGGGAGGGGTATTTAGCTAGATATGTGTGGAGTGACTAGGTTGAACAGAATAAGGAATATGTATAAGAGAGCAAGTTGAGCATTATGATTAGAGGTAGACCGAAGAAGTGGGTAGATGGGATAGAGAAAGAAAAGATTGTACGTGGACCGAGGAGTGAATACAAATAGTGACCATTGAAAGAGATTGGTGGGGAGAACGGATTCAGAGACGGTTACAGATGGAGACGATTTGAGGTAGGTGGTCGACTTGCTCGGGATAAGAGCAAGTAGAAATTGTCTTCTGAGGGATTCTACTCACCAGTATCAGGTCTTGGATCAGGTTGGCCACACCTCTGTTGGCAATGACGAATATTCTGGTCAACGGCCCGGGCACTCCGACGCTGTATCCGTCCTCTTTGGTAGTGGAGTCCGTGTGCAAGTCCTGACCGTCTTCCACCAAGGCGGCGTTGCTCGACTCGTCCCTGTCTTGAGTGGCTCCGCTACCGGCCACCAACTGTTTGTCAACACAGACACACACACACAAACCGATCATGGCGGGCACGAAATACACACAGTGATATTAAGTAGACAATAGATTAACGGTAATATGTATATTGTACGGTTGGCGAGTACCCAAAAAAACAGCCCTCGGTTTTAGGGTGGGGCCCCCCACACCCTGTTAAGAGACACAGAGCCAAGGCGATGAGTCCCCCCAGACAGTATAGAATATTCCAGATGCGAATCCGATGGGAAAAAACGGTCGTTGTTTTCTTTTATACAAATAGGGGGGAAATAAAAAAAGATAGTTTGATTTGAGATTACTCTTTAACTCGACTACTAAAAAGTTCCCCTGCTGTAAAGCTAAATGGAATATTGATAGCGTTAAAATAATACAGTAAACATGTTATTCGAATAATTTAAACTGATCCTGGTCAAAAAGATATTTTTAAAAAAAAATCATCATAATATTTTTCAATTTGGTATTAATTATATTCTTGGTAGTCTGGGTTTTAACTTAATCGTGGATTTTAATCTTTGGACTGACTTTATAATTACTGAATTGAACTTTTTTTTTTTATAAACTATATATTTATATATCTGTATTTGTTTAGATCCGCATCTAACCCTACACCATCTAAGTACTTGCATTTATTAGTTGAGAGCTGTTTTTGTGGTACACGTTGTGCATATCTAGTATATTTTATGAAATTGTCCTGTATGGTCAAATTTTTATGTCGTATAAGTTTCGATTGATGTTTACATTTTTTTGTTAACCAGAACAACAAAGTCATATTATATGTATATTCGGTATGATATAAAGCAAGTAATTAATGATATTAAAATAAAATTAAAAAAAATTGCCGTTAGAAGTTAAACATATTATACCAAAGGATAGAAGATCATAAAATATTATTTATTTTAATATTATTTTATAATGATAAAGTAAAAAAAAAAAATTGTGTTTCTGTTAGTTAAGTTGATGATAAATTATTATTGGTCTTACATAATAATATGTTGTTAATGTTTGTGTAAAATCACTATTTTTTTTCACGTTAAGCTAAATAGTTATTTTAGTGCATGTATCAGTTGCTGTGGGCATAGAACGTTTATTAATTTTTTTTTTATGGAACGTTATGGATTATATTTAAAAAATATTATGTTTCAAAAAAAAAAACCTTTAAGGTCGCAAAGGTTTGTGTGTTTTTTTTTTTTTACTTTTGTCAAAACTGTTTATGGTCGTTCGTCGAGTGCCGGTTTTTCAATAGGATAAGGGGGGGGGGTGGGTTATTTTTAAAAAATTATTTTTATACTGATTTTTTTTTCGAGGGACGTAAGAGATTAACTTAAGAAAAAAAAATTAATTAGATAAACAAAAAAAAACACCTTCGAACGATGACAATTTATGTCGAGAATTGCATCGAGCGTTGCATAACAAGAGTGGTTAGTGAAAGTGGAAGTATCACTTGACTTCCATCACACACACACACATATACTTATATATGTAATATTATATTTAATATGCTACAACTAGTTGATATATATTTTTCTTTCGAGAAATAATGGACGATTAATATTATTTAAAACAACATATTATTATTAGTAATAGTATAAGTACTACAAATATTATTATCATTATTATTTACTGAGCAAACAAAATGCTTATGCGGTTTTTTTTTTCATTTCAAAATATAATAATTATTATAATATTTTATACAATATCGCGTGTACGCCATTTATGTAATTAGCCAAGTGATTTAGAATCGGCCGACCGACTGTCGATGTATTATTATTATTATTATTATTATTTTTAACAATATCTAACGCATAACATTTTGTTTTGTCGTTCTCGGAGAGCGTACCATTTAACATTTATTGTTATAATTACAATTAAAAAACAAAAAAAAAAAACAAAACATTAAACAAAAAAAATGTTTGACTATATTGGAATGAATTTATTTACCAATGGATACTGAATCGGCTGTTTGAGTGTTAATGTGTTTGGGTCGGTGCCTGCGACCACTCTGTAGAAACCACCGGCAGCCCTAGCTGCTCTGTCCGCTCCCCTCTATTGAAAACCAAAAAATCTTTTTTGCCTCAAACCTTTCAATTGGTTTTTTTTTTGTGTTTTGTAAATTATTATTATTATTTTTTTTTTTATAAAATATTATTATCTTTATACGAGCAAAATACTTTGGTTTTAGTTTATACAATCCTCTGCTATACACCCGCACGATGCACAAACCACCAAACAATATAATATAGCTAACTATTCAGCAAAGGCACGCAGCCACACAGTTGACTTTATACAAAATATATAAAAAAAAAATATGTTCATCATAACTATTTATTTAGATACCAATTATTGGCCACCTAAGTGTAAGTGTAATGGGAAAGCGATTCGAAAAAGGCAACGCAGAGACATGTGTGTGTGTGTGTGTGTGTGTGTGTGATATGGGTTTTAATTAAATACATTGATTGGTAGAGAAATAGGTATTACTTTCCATATTGTCTCTGAATCATCAGCAGTTATCATCAGGTTTCCCATACCCACCTTAAACGTTTCTTTTATCTGCGATTTGGACTTTGATATAGACTACGGTAGTCAAATATGCGATAAACGAATTTCCAAAGCGATCATATGTAAGCGTTTTAAATCAATTATTTAGGTACAAGTGTATTTTTAAATATTTATCGTTACCCGTCAAATTGCATCACCCTCGGCGTTGCCCTTTCTGATCGCTTCATTCTGATACAATTATTGTGTCTACAACTAATATTAGGTACATCTGTTTTTCCCACTTGACAACATGACCGGCAAAATGAGCAATATTATAATGATGTGTGATTTCTACCAAGGTTTTGATGACGTTTTAATGATTGCAGTTTTAACAAAAAAAAAAATGATATGTATATAATATTACTACTATAAAAAAATTGTTATTTGGTCTACATGCAAACCTATAATAATAATAATATGTCCTATTGTTGGCGGTCCATAACCGTTTTGACCCGCCGACCGTGTAAATGGGTCAGCGATGCATTTTTTCCCCTTCGTCGTCTAATTATTGATATTGTACATATTATTATTATTATTATCATTATTAAATGCATTTTAAACGGACACTGCAATAGCTATTACAGCCCGCGCCTTTCACCATATTCCACCTGTACCACACGCCAAGTAGAAATATAATCTAATAAATGTACATAATATAGTAATAATAGTAATAACACCGGCAAGTACAACGTTAGCTGCACGGTTAACGAATATTAATATAAATGGTAAATGGTAGATATTATTTTATATTGGATTACGATTATTAGAACATTTCAAACGTATCCTTATTATTACCAAGACGTTTCGACATGACCCTCACGTCATCATGCTTAATGTGGAAAGTGCGGCAATTATGATATCATTATTATTATCATCGTGTACCCAATTTGGTGGGCACATAAAATAGCCAATATAATATTATAACATCGGCTAAGTATGGTATGATTGGTTTCACTAGGACAACACTGTATTGGGGTTTTTTCGATTTTCAAAAATAACTGGGAAAATCTTTCTGATAAGAGATAGACTAGTGATAAGAGCGATTATTGATGATAAGGTAAAAATTCCAAAAAATAGATTTAGAGCTACAAAAATTAAAATGAATCTGTACTCAACCGCTAAAACGGTGATAAATTCAATAAAATAACACATTTTTAACGGAAACTGTTTAAAAAAACATGACCCTAAATTACATTTTCCGACATTTATTAATCTAAACAAAAATTAAGGTTAAATAAAAAAGTTAAATCAAAATACAAAGATGGGCATCGACGGTGTAAAAATTAGTATTTTATACAAAAAAAAAAATGCTTGTGTTTATTTGTGATAAAGACATTTTTATAGTGTCACGATTATTAATTTTAGTTGTATTACATTGTTATGTTATTGTTGGTAAAAAAATTACAAATTCAAAAATATAAATTAGTACTTTGTAAACAATACAAATTTAGGGAATAAACGTTTAAGTGTTAATTTTTTTTTTCCAAATCAACTTAACTTAAACCGGTTAAAAGAAAGTAACTTTGTCCGGATTTGGCCGTATAATTGTTAGGTATTTGCTAATATTTTAATAATTTTTTTTCCCATTTCTAAATCAACGGTTCACGTTTTGGTTCACGACCGTAGATTAATCTTTTTTATACATTTTATATAATAATAATTATTATTATGATAATGTTATTTCGCTATTTTAAAGAGTTATGCACACGGTCTATCGATTAATGTTACTTATTTTTGAGCTGTTATTATTTTTATGGCGCGTCATCGTGAGTACTGCTTAAATACCGGCCGGTAATTTATAATATTATATTATTAACATGATGTATAGATACATACATACACATGCTGAACCATCCAGTGGATTTTATACCCGACCTGTGTGTTATTAGGTAGGTACCCATTATTTAATATTATGCAACGACAGAGAAAATAGCGTTACGCCGTAAGACGCATGTATGGTACATAATATGATCATAATGCTATTATTGTAACCAGACATCTAACACTGTTGCCTATTATCATCATTACCCAGGTGTATACCTATATTCGTCCCAATTATTATTAGGCGTTGTTGTGTTTGTTTTAAGTTTTTTTTTCAATTATTGGATGGTACCCACCTACCTACTTACCTAACTATCCTACTTCTGTACAATGGTGTGCGCGTTAAACGGTTCAGGAACCCCCAAAAAATTGATTTACAATAAATATCATTCTGTTCAAGTTAATTATTAGCATTGAACCAACAGCTAAAAAGGGACAGAGAATTAAAAAAAAAAATTATTTTATGATTAAGCCAGTTGTGATCGAAAATTAGCTTGAAATCGTTAAATTTTATCCATTTCTAACTTATTAACTTGTCCAGCCTTGAGAATACACACCTACTTATGTAATATAATGTGCACAGTAGCATTTATAACAACGTCCTATCTGATTATATTGTGTCAAAGTCCTTATTGTCTAGTGAAAGATGTGTCAGATAACAGGTGAGATGCCACCTCAGTAAGTGGTCGGCTGTGTGCTTTACAGCAGCAGTGTTTATACATTATGTACTACACCAGCTGTTGTTCTTAGTTTCATTCAAACCCAAAGAGCTGTTGGTCTATTGACAAAATCAAAATATCTTTCACGTTTTATAGCTGTTCTCTATGAACTCGTGTTGATAGAGCAAACGTTTGACGAAAGCAGTGCTGAGTCTACGCTTTTAAATGATAAAAATAATTTTGTACCTATTTATAAGCATAAAGGGATTTTCCATTGTATTTATTTTTGGTATATAAATGTAAAAATAACGAAATCGAAGATGGGAAAAATCAATTATCTGTATTAACGTTTATGGTGGCATTTTCTAGGTCTAGCTATAAACAGGTAAATTTGAAATTGTGTGAAAATTTGGCTTAAATAGTCAATATTTTTAGAATTTGTTTCCTTACTATTTCTGCCGGATTTAATGTACGGTAAAAATGTAATAACGATTGTTTCGGTATCAAAATAAAGTGAAAAACCCTGTTTAACTTTTTTTTTAATTTACTTAAAATTTTTAATTATGCCATTATGTCCAGCGTTGAATACAACTTCATGTTATGTGGTTTCACTGATGTGTCCTGGAACCCACCGTACTAGTTCCTGAATAATTAAAGTCTATTGGCACGTCTATACAAGACGTTATTTGAGAAACCAAAGGGAAATTCGACTCAAGAAACCCGTCTAGATTTATCGCTGTGTGTATATGACTTTGAACTAAATTAGTCGAATGTTTACCGGATTTTATTATCGGCTCTGAAGAACGCCCAGTGTGTTTTTTACACCATTCGTTTTTAATTGACTGTGCAACAAAATATGTGTTGACAAATCTGTCGCCACTCTCGACCGGCCTCGAGTGGAGTAAGTAGGTAATAAATAATAATAATAATTACTATTACTATAATTGAGTGATAGGTTTTTATTGCCGGGGTACTTAATACACAAGCGAAAGCCGTGTGCAAACAAAACATAATACGTTTACGAGGGTTTTATGTGCGAAATAAAAATTAAAAAAAAAAAAAATCACCTGACCGACTAATAGTGAATTCTAGTTTGGACGGGCTAAACCGAAAATAAAAATAATAGAACGTTATGCAACCGGACAGCTGAGTACACACGTATCGGGTAGGTAGATAGGTAGGTACCACTATTATAAGACAAGTATAATATGATATTATTATTAAAGTGGGACGGGCGAACCGAGAGCAAGTGCAAAAACCCCTTTTACCTTGTTGCCCGGCCACGTGCCACACTCATTGTATTTGTCGGAATCAACTGGTTGTCGAGTAAAAGTTGCCCCGACGTTACAATTATTATTGTGTTTTTTTTCTCTACAAATGCCAATTTTTTTTATATAATATATATATCGGCCGATATGTTCCCATTATTAATACCTATTGCCCGAGCACAGTATAGAGATAATCGAGGTGGGCGTAAGCCGTCGATTATGTCGGCCTCGTGCCGACTGCGGTGAATGTAGAGGTGTCTTGCAATTAGGTATACAATATACGGTATTATAAATGCCACGAGTTGCTTGCGACGGTTCAAAAAAGAAACCCCCGTGGAATAAGTTCACAATTTGTTTTATTTAGACATAGCCAAAATACGGTCAGAAAACTGACATCGACCAATCACTTGTGTAATGGAGTTGCCACGGTTTGTGGCAGCGAGAAATTTTAATATTTGGCTCCCCGCACAATGCGTGCAAATAATAATCGGCCAAGTTATAGTTGAAATATTATTTTTCTTTTAATTTCCCGTCCTGTATGTGCAACACTGAAAATATGAGTTTTGATTGTGTTTGCTGTATTTTTTGTCGGTTAAAGTTTAAAGCACATAACGGTAAAATCGAAACGAATGCCTATTTTTTAATTATAATTAAATTCTAAACAGTGCGCCGTGCCATGTCGATATTGTTGTTTGGATACATCTGACCTGTCGATCAGCGCATAATACCATATTGTACTTCATTCAATAGAGAATGTGTAACGCAATAATAATTATCTTTGATATGTACAAAACTTATCGGTGCGACGGGAGATAAAATAAAAAAGTGCGAGGGAGAGTGAAAGACAGAGACATAGATTATATGTAGGGCAAAACTCAATTGCACGTTTCGGTTTACATAAACAAATATAAAATAACTGGTGTAGGTAGGTAGGTAATATGTATGTGGACAAAACTTGTTTGGCAAAGTCAATACACGATAATTATCATCATTATTAGTATTACTCTGTTCTCTCTCTGATACGATTTCGTTTACGGTTGTGTGTTTTGTCGGTATGGTAGTTTTAATTTATACATATGTACAAATTATCGAGTGTTTCATAATAACATTGCAAACCGCGAGAAGGCCAAAATCAAAAGTCCGTGATCCAAAAAATTAAAAAATTGTAAAATAACAAAATGAGTTGGCAACACTGCCGGTTAAAGATTTGTTTTATAGCCCGGAAAGTGACACTTTTGGATCGACATGTTAGTTTCGATTTCAGCCCACTCGTATATTATTACATGTATATATATATATAGAGAGATAAAGTGTGTAGTAAGTATTGTGAGTTTATGGATTGCGAGCGACGAGTAGAGATAGGAGGTATATAGAGAAGGTGTAAGGTATTAATATAAACATTTTAACATTTTGGATTGTTTGTGGTTTTCAATTTTTGCATGATTTTAAACACTCACTCGGATTAAATCGAACAAGAAATTTCCGGATCCGCCGCCTCCCCCTCCTTTCAAGTTGAACAAGAACCGTTTGTTTCTTGGGTCTTCCTCGGTTTCCTTATCGTCCAGCGCCGAACCGTCGTCCGAGGAAACGTCTAAAACACACAACATCATCAATCCCGTATTATTCCCACAGGACCAACACAAGTCCCCGCGGACACACATCATAATATATATTTTTATATATATGTATCATAATATTATATTTATAATATAATAATACATCGTCAGAGTTCTTGGCGGTTTTTTGTAACCGTTTTTTTTTTTACAAAAAAAAAAAAGCGTTTTACAGCGTACAACATAGTAGTTGTGTACACAAGGTGAGCTTGGTTCACCCCACAAGCTCCATCGGGGATTTACACTGCAATCGGCTGAAAAATAATGGTTGCACGTGTTATGGAAAGTCGCAGACCTTCGATCCGAGTAGAAAGGTGAATTAATAGCGTGTAGTTAATTGAAGAGACAGATAAACGGGATAACGGGTAAGATACTTGATTCGTGAGGAACAAGGCACAGAAAAAGAAGAATGTAACAAAAACTGTCCACGACGGTAAAGCGTTTCTCCGAAGCATAAAAAAAGCGTGCGTTACTCACTATGATGGTAATATTATTACTTTTTTTTTTAATAATAATAATATTACAGATGTTAAGTGTCGCCACCTCGATAACGAATAAGCGCACAACGGCTGCGAATACGCTGACAAGATGAGTGATTTCTCATTTTAATATTACAACGGTAATTGGTTATTTTAATTTAAATCATATTAGGTTATTGAACAAACAGTTAATGGGAGAAAAAAATGACCGCCGGTACGTCTTGTCGATTAAGCACAGTAGATTAAAGAAAACCAGATAGTGCGCTCCACAGTAAAACAATAGAAATATTGAACACGCTATTTACAATAATAAACAATAAACTGATAAGAATTACTGGTAACAAGTAGTCGACGGTGGTAACATTTCAGACGCTCGATAAAACTACATTGATCACACTGTAGAACGGAAGGAATATTTTTTTCATATTTTGGTCACACTGACCCGCTGAGATTAATAATTAAGTTTGTTTACATATCTTTTAAAGTGCACTATCTGGTTTCATTCGATCCGCGGTTTAAGTATGGGACTATCCGTCCGACGTCTTATCATCAGCTGTTGGTTTGTAGCAAAAAAATGTTTTTTTTAAAAATGACTAATTTCGTCACGATCGCACTTAAGCGCACACAACACGTATTATTATTATATTATTCAATATAGGTACACGTCATATTGGTGTTTTCGGAACGAGGCTGTCGGCGCAAAAACGTAGACCTCCTATTAAGAAACGGACTGTCCTCGGATACAGTGAACCTGCACAGTTGCAATTATTCAACATATAAAATAGGTTCATGGAACTAAATAAAAAATAAAAAATACTTATAAAATTCGATCGTCGCTTGGACGTCTTGTTTATGCGAAGTACATACAGATTGCGCGCAGACAACCGACGGAATGGGTTTCGCCATCGGTCCAGGGAAAACCGGACTAAAGTAAGAAATATTAATATTTTTTTTCCATGAAAATAGTATTTTTAATAACACGCCATCATCATAATATATGGTGATCGTCGTTGTCCTTCGAAAGGAACCTAATAAACGTCTACTTTTTTCATTTTCTAAAAATATACAACAGCTAAGTTACACGTCTTATGTCATTAAAACTGTCTAAATTAAACGGTAATAATATTATGATTTTGTTTTACTGTTTCGATTGGCCACGACCACTCTTTTGCTAATAACCACCATAGTACCTAACCAACCGGCGGCTAATACTGATCATGTATTAGATCATCTATACCTACACATTATAGTACGGCCAGGGCATTTATTCCGCATAAATATTTTTCTGTATTATTTTTTTTGTATAACAGCGGCAGTGTAGAGGATAGACAAAGTGAAATCTGAGATAAGACAAACCGTTACCAAGCCGGCAGAGTGCATATTGTGGCACGTGTCTACTGTTTTATGGGCGTAACCCTTATTAGTGCTTTAGAGATTTGTGGTTTTTTTATAGTAAAAAAGAATGTGTTATATCTAAAAAGAAGAAGATGATATGTCGTGTACAATAATTTAACTTTATTTCATAGTATTATCGTTCACACACTCACACACACATACACACACACACATTTGACAATTAATAAATATTTAAAAAAAAAAATAAAGTAATAATAATAATAAAAAATTAAAATAAATTATTAAGATAACCGTTCACCTATATTATATTATAGTAGAGTTGTATAGATAAATAAATCGTATTACTATATTATGGTATAATATTATACATTTAAATGGTAAAAATGAAATAAATTAAAAAAATAGAACCTCATAAAATTTAGGTAATGAATGTGCAAGTGAGAAAATGACGTTATCGACGCTTAAAATAGTATATTATGACGTATACTAAGTTATATATTATTATTTGTTATCATGATTATTGTTATTTAATATTTTATACTTTGCCGTCATATTTTACCGGTATCCGATAGCGAAGCCGACCGCTGTTTTTTTGTCGCCTCTTCGGTGGAAGACACTTCCCTTGCCGTTCTCTTCTTCACCGCCGCCGAGTCGGTCGACAGTTGGTTATCCGTGTCCAATGGCTAAAAAATAATCGGCCGTAAATAAAAAAATAAAAATACAAAATACAAATATCAATAAAACACCGCATCAGTTATTATGAGATATTATTAATCAAGTCAAATACTACTGCAGCTTTCACAATTATTATTATTATTATTAATGTTATAGTCCTCCGAAGAGAACTACGGCCATGCTATCAATACAACATACATACAACACATTATTATATAATACAACATCTATAATAATCAACTGCATAAAATATAACGACAACCATGCGTTGTTAAACGGGATTAAACAAACAAAAAAATAAAGCGCCCTACGTATGTATTAGACAAAGACCCGTTAAAGACATTTCCAAAGACATTACAAAGCCAGATTGTTTGTACAGCGAACACTTGGAATCTCCTTGGTAATGGAAATATTATCGGGGTCTTTGATCAATACAGTGTAGGCACGTGCAATATCACAATAACATGGACCAATACACTCCCAACACACAGTCGCTTCTCGACTGACCGTTGAATTAAAAAAAAAAAAATACAACTATAATAACATATCGTTAACATTACGCTACATAATAATGATTATTGTTATCGTACATATTGTTATTATTATCATCACATCACATGCCATGGCATCTACAATGCCAAAAACAAAATTATAAACACAAGCGTTAGAAAAAAAAATAATAACAAAACAAACGGCCAACGAGGACGTTATTTTTTTTTACACCGGATTACCGACCTATATAGCACACACAAACATTCGCGTACATAATAATAATAATATTATATTATTATAAACGGTTTATTATTGCCAACAAAACGAACCGATTAGATTCAACAATGGAATCGATTATACACCTTGGAAGCGTGCCCGTTACAACGACACACAGTTATCACCACCATAGACACTGTACACTGTTAGGTTGGTATCTATGCGTCGTCATTTCGCGAGCGGCAAAATGGTAAAGTAAGCTACTACAAAACAATATTAGGTATATTATTATTATATCCGTGTATATATTTTCTATTACAAATAATTATTAACTATATACATAATGTCATAGCGCAGTTACAAAAACAGTTATTACACCTATGCCGGTTTCATAACCTCACAAACGATGCAACAAAAAATATATTATTATTATTATTATTGCGCGTAGGTACTTATTAATGTTTAAAATATTAGCATTATTATTAATATTTATGACAATAGTATTTTTTTTTTTGTACACGTTAAACGCTATAATAATAATATGCTCTCGCGTTATTAATAACCACTACAACAACGATATTAATCATACTGTAATCATCAACTGTACATACTAAGGCTACGAAAAAAAAAAATAATCATAGATTAAACCTTAACACTAAAAGCGTCTTAACACAAGCTCTATAGTTATTATATTTTCTATTATTACGGTATATGTTCAAACGACAAGCGGTTATACAATAACACTATAATATGATACCCAGTACAATTACACCAAACGACAGAGTTAAGGGGGAGGGGAGGGAGGGCAGATATACCAAATATGAGCACACAGAACGAAATATCATGGCGACAACTGTGTTAAACTAACGAAATAGATTCAATGAACGGTTGGTGTTCCACTAAAGTTTAAGAAAAGTAGTATTTATACTTCCAAGTCGATAGGTTAATTGATTTTGCGCCCATCCGAGATAAGATATCTCAGAAAAGTAGAAGAAACACTGCTAGGAAGAAAACTTGCAGTCTCTGCGTTGATCCTAAGATCGTTAAAAAAAAACACATTTTAAATGTTCAGAATGTTTGTTTGGACTTGGTAAAAACTGACGGTTTTGGTTGTGGAAGTCGGATAACCGTAGGAAAACAAAACCGTACTTTGAAATATAGCAGAAGAAGCACAACCTAAAGGATTGAGGACCATTGAGACCTTTTGACCGTTCGTGCATTTAATGAATTCTTAAAATTGCTTCGGGATATGAAATTTAACTTGCTCAAAGACATTTCGTTCTGTGCAATGCTGGTAACCAAACGATGCAACGACGGAGTTGACAAAAACGGACGCTTTGGTTGTGGACAAAGCGTAGTGCATCGTTTCGGTCGATTTGTAATAGTTATTTTCAAACAAACTAAACCACTTAACGAGTACCGCGAACACCGGTCATGCACAAACAAATCGGCAGGAAACCGATGTGAGGGTTAGGGAAACCGACGAGAGTGGTTCGGTAGCAATGGCATTCCCATGCATATTTTTGCGAGGCTTTTTAGCCGGTCGTTGGAGCTCATGCCGGACGATGTGGTCATGGATTTACCGTGCTTTGCTGCGTGGTGATGGGTGGCGAGAACGTGCTGGTCGCGACCTCGGAGGCTGCGGTGGTGGTGGCGATGACGGTTGCAGCTGAGGCGCTGCTGACTGCCGCCTCTGCGCCGACCGTGGACGATGATGGCGACGGCTGCTGTGGTAAGACGGTGGTGCTACCGCCAGCGTTGTCGGTTTCGGTCGCTTCTTCCTCTTCGTCGTCGGTCGACGGAGGGTACGTTGGCAAGGTAATGGATATTCTCCGACCACCGCTGTTGCCGCCAGAAGAGTCGCCACCGGTGCCCGTGGCTCCGCCGCCCGCCGCACCCGCTCCGCCTCCTCCGCCACCGCGGAGCACCAGCCGGCCGATCACCCGGAATAGGAGTCGCGTGATCTGTTGGATCTTTCTGTCGACTATCTAGAAAAACAGGTGACACCCCAAACACACGTACACTAAAGTTGTTTGTCTTCTACAAATCGCATGCACGTCGTACTTAAACTATGGCACGGATCAGTACTTAACGTATACAGCGTGCGCGCGCAGCTAGCACCAATATTGTGGGTCGCCAACACTCCACCGGAAGCCTAGCAACTTTTCGTGTACTCCTATGCATTACAGCGATTTCGTAAGACTAACTTCGCAAATCCTTTGGCTAAACAATTCGAGTCTGTCGAAAATTTGTGACATCAATTTCGCGACAGTGATAAGGGATTAGTCATAGGGGAATAGTGTTAAGAGACAACTGATAAGGGACAGTGACAAATGGAACGGAGGGTAAGCGATTGTAGATAGTGGAAGCGAAGGGATTGAGATGATGAGATTGTTGATAGAGCAAGGAGAAGGGAAGGAATGATACTGTAGATATACGTGAACCATCTTGTAGGTACCAAAAGACACCCAATGTTTTTCTCTCGAGAAAAAAGGTAAGAACTTTTGATCGCATATAAACCATTAGGTACGTCTCAACCGTCTCCAGATCTAGTCTTTTCTGACTGCTATTAGTAGAACATACAACGTGAACGGTACAATATCTTTCAAAAGGATCTAGGCAACAATTTATGGATTCTAAATGTCCATGGACACATTGATCAAAATGAAATACAAACGAAGTAAAACTATCCAAAACTAAAAGCGTCCAAATAAGAAATGTCCAAATATCTGCATAACTAATATCCAAGTAAACTGTATATATGTCAATAAAAAAGTTTTCCAATTGGCTTATACATATTACTACTAATGAAACTATTATAAAAATCAAGGTGCTATTGCAGCTGGATAACAGAACGTCAACACAAATTTGTCTTTTTTACCGGAAATCGAATCAGAACATATTTCAAGATAACTGTTGTATAAGAAATCAAATTGATATTCTAGATTCAAAACTTTCTCATCACGTCTGTCGTTTAAAAGAAAGAGAAATATGATAAGAAATGTATATTATATTCCTCAACTTATCGTGGCGCGCATACCAATTATTAAAATTACATTTCACAAAAAATCTTTTAGAAAGTACATTTTTGTTTTTTTAAACTTGGGTTTAATTTTGGACAAAGTCGAACAGATGTCGAGTAAGCCGAGTGAGATGGAGTGAAGAATGAAGTGAAATAAATTATTCTCGTCCCATTCAATTTGTCAAAGCTATGCAGTGTAGACTATAAACAGGTAAATTAGAGACCATCCATTATAAAATGTCATTAAAACTTATGTAAATTTAAGTTTATAAATATATTTAATCATTTATTCCAAACCGTATGAATCGCATTCGTCATAACCGCCTACTAAGATCAGTCTTGTCCAAGCAAACATATCAGTGACCCGCTTAGTACTTCCTGGCCGTGTCAGAGTTATTCAATCATTTTAAAATATCATTGCACGACCTATAAGCTACCTAATAAAAATACATTACCAAATATTTATGTACAAACAAAAGCATCTAATGATTGTACTTATGCGAATAAACGTGCAAGTGATTATAACGACAATAAGCACAATCGATTAAACTCGTGTCAACAAAAATGTTCATCTTGACGACCGAATATGCAATTACTGACTGAAACGCGCAATACTTGTTTGTCATTATTAGTGTAACTTTTTATTACCAAACGACAAAATGGAATGGGAAAAAAAACACCAAATGTATTGCCGTTTATTTTAAATTGATGTATAATTTCTCATAGAACAACCGTCATGTCCTTACTGTCTTTTAGGAATTTCTGTAAATCCTCTATTGTAATTTTGGTCGATAATCGTTTACCTTAACCAAAGTGCACGATAAGCTGACTTGCACTTGTTTGAAATGGCAACGAAATTATGGCTTATTTGACCAAAACGGCTGTTGGACGAACACATAACATAGCAATCGGTGGTTTATTATCAAACTAAACAATGCACTAAAGTAATATTAAATATATGACTTGTGAACTCCTACGCACGCAAAACTGGCATTTAGTCTATATTTTAAACTAGAATGATTATCGCTCTCTCCTTTCCTTTCCTTAAGTTTTACACTCATTATCTAATAGATACCATCAATCAAAACTGCAAAGTCAGCGTTTCCCATTAAATTTCTCCCGTACGCGATTCTACCCACATTTCGAGTGATGACGATTTCCAAACGCGTTCCGCATTTGTCACCGTTATCCGACCACATGCGCCGATTAGGCGTTTTGTCTAAGACAATACGTCTCGAAACAAAAAAGGTAAAACTTAAGTCGCCTACCGAAAAAACAAAAATACCCAAAGAACTTTTTTAATCGTAATTGGACGTTTCAAACGGCTCAAAGTGTAATAGTTAGCTGTAGGATAGCATTTTGCGTGTCACGTTATGCACTGCACACGCTTTCGCGCCATAAAAACTAATGGCGGACCACGTAACAGCCGTTGAGAGATATTTCCGATTGCCCAAGGAGTGCCAACCTGATGTACAAACTGGTCACACTGGGCTTTGTCGATTACGATCAATGACTACTGAGCAGCAGGGCTGGTCTATGAAGCGCAATGGCCGGCCGTCGTACAATGGTTTGTATTGTCGAGGCTCTAGTTTGTAAAGGCGTCTGCGTGGAAAAACGTTTGGAAACCGTTCGCGGTTGCACAACCTGCTGCTGGACATAACCTTTCAAAAATGATGTCCTTGCCGTTATATCGTTATTAATGGTTTTACAATGAGTGTCGGCTTTGCCCGGTCGTACAAGACCAATTATTGAACGTGTTAATGTCCCGGTGCCTGTCCGTGGTCATGACGCTTCAATTATTTATCTGCACTAATTGCTCAACTCGTTCGTGCCTTCCGCCGCCATTGTACCAGACGAAACCGAAAGTATATAATAACATCATTATTATTATGCACTCGACATAATATTATATTTTGCACATAACCTGACCGCCCGCGGCCCCCTTCTGACCTTGTCGGCCAATTACACCGGTTTGCTAGCTTCGCGGTAATCGCACGGAAGATAGGTAATTTACAATGCACGACAAATGCCATAAACGTGCAAATGTCGTTAAAATCATGCAAAACATTAATAACGACACACTGACCCGCTCGACGTTATGTAAAATATATTACAATTGTTGGGAGTTTTTTTTTACATTCGAACGCAGCTCACGAATACGACTTATCGCTATCGTGGACACTCTGCACTTTGGAGAACACAACTGTTGATAACCAACACAATGCGGATGAGTGGATAGTTTGATGAATACAACGGGGTAAGAGGTCTGATATCGGATAGGCTTGATACTGGCGGCCAAATTTGATTTACTCGGTTGAGTGAAACAAGGTCGAACGTATTTCAATGATGGATCGTTTCGAGATTGTGAGTAAACATCAATTTAGAAAAAAATAATATATCAACGACACGCGTGACCGATTAAAGCCCAAGTCTACGGATTAATATGTTCACATACGGAAATTGTAACGATGCGTCTGTAGACTACCCGACCGAACTAATGTGTTATTTTCGGTGTTATCACCAAAGCGATTGGTAAATATATTTGAAAAAATAGTGAATTTACATAATCGTTAACGCGTTCATTTCGTAACAGTTCCAAAAACTTTGTCGTACACACTATACTGGTTTTGGGATTTTAACGATACACTATTATATGATTCGAACACTATGTCCTCCAATGACGTTGGTTTACCCGAACTCTTGAATAACGATTTCAACGCGTGACGCACTCTTTAAGTGCGAATCCCGTTCAAGCTCGTCCGGGTCCGTCGTGGCGCCAGACTAATAAAATTAAGAAAAAGGAATCTGCGAAAAAAAAAACCTAACCGGGTCACGCGTTACTTCATTTCAAAAATGTGTGAAAACCGCCGACGATGATGGTGCGGTACACTAAGGTAATTATTACTAAAATAGGTAACCCGTGATTAACACAACATCCTCTTTGCAGAACGCAATTGCATCATCGCGTGCCGTATGAGCAACGGCTGATATTATATTACCCATACACGTATAGTAGTAGTAATAATGATATTATAACATCACAATATGTAACAGCGAAGAATTGCCCGCGTTTTGCAACAGTCACGGTCTGCCACTTTATTGTATCATCCGACCCAAAAATCGACGGCCGTTAAAGTCTCCAGACAATATTAATTATTCATTTGCACGTTATCGCGGCGTTTCGTGTAAGTATGATGTATTAAATAATATTATTATTATTGTTGTTGTTAAAAAAACCGACTCTTGACTAACTGGAAAATCACCAGTGTTTATATATTTCGTTTCTCTCCACGCGGTGAATTGGATTTGGCTATTAACTTGGTTGGTTAATTTAGGTATACAAAAAAAAAACGAGTGATCAAAGTGTTATACAACAGAACGGTGCGGGGCCCAACAGACTTTGGTCAAGTTTTGGCAATATCAACATGCAAATGAATACAAGATTATATTATGTAAGATAGTTTGACGACAAACATTGAAAAGCTATGAAGAGTTTTTTTTTATTGAAAACAAATATTTTTAAGTCATTTGCAAAAAACTATTGAAATTATGACACCGTTCAGTGTCCACCAATTTGTTTTAGTTTTATAATATACAATTTTCTATATAGATTAAATAGTCAGGCATTTTAAAAATAAGTAAAAAAGTATACAATATCTAAAAAAAATTACTGAATTAAATAAATGTATTTTTTCTAAAAAAAGAAAATGACGTAATTGTTGCATTTCAGTTACAATTTGCATAAAATATATTTTCTAAGCTTATCAAAAGCTTAAAATTAATAATACTAATGAATAGAAAATATCATCAATTGAAGTTTGTATTATAGTATAGTTTATAAGTTCTGAATTTCTGAAGTCTGCTGAAACGCTCAATATAAACCTACTACTTCTTTAATACGGTTATTCCAAGTGGACAATTTTTTAAATTTTTTGGGTAAATCATTCACACATTTTTTAGCTTTTTCTGCTAAAAAAGTATGAATGTACAAACCCCACCTGACCATATTGTACCAACTGTATGTGTAGTAAAAGCGAGCAAGTAAAAAAGACAGTTTACCAGATAAGTGAACGGTACCTATATAATTTATGCTTGTATTTTATACATTTTGTCGAATCTCGTTTTTCCTCAAAACGCATTGGCCGCATTAACACAATAAACAAACGTTAAACGCGTTATGGGCAATGTTTAATCGAATACTTCCAAAGAACTGTTACTTTCTAATTACGTCCTTCGCTCTCAAACCCGTGTATTTCGTTACAAACGCGTGGGCAGGTACAATAACATAATAACAACAATATTACTATTACTAATAATAGTAATAATGATGATAATGGTAGTGTTATTCGGACTATAAGAATATAATCCGAAATGTCCAACACAAATCGCGTTGGATTAATCTCCAACGTCTAAAGTCACATCAACTCGGGCAAAACCGTAACAAGAAACGCTTTTCGGTTGATCAGACACTTCCCACGCACACACTTGACACGACTGAACTAGGTATAATTAATGTTTTTTTTTTCTTTCTTTCTGCTTCTACTGCTGCTGCTGTTACTGCTGTTGCCGCCGCTGCTGTTGCTGCTGCAACGCGTGCCAGTTAAAAGCTTATAATATTGATATTACCTGAGACAGACCCGGGAATAGCTGCCTGAGGAACCCGATCGTTCTCTTGTCCCTGACGGTCTTGTGACTAGAATCATCTGCTTCAGCAGACAGGAAGGCGTTGGACTCCTGTTTTTGAAAATAAAAACAAATAAACAAACATATCGATAAATGAAAATTGAGTAATGCAATTTAGTGTTAGTACAACAATAGCCACAACTAACCGTGAGCATTTACCGACAAGTTCAGAACAGCTGGATTCTACCCAGAGACCAAAATTGTCGGTTAGGTTACTCATGACTAGTTTTTATAATTATTATACACATTATATTATAAAAAAAATTATTTTTACAAGGGAACACCGAGGGAAAGTAATTTAAGTAGCAGAACGATTGGGTATACATCAATATTGGCATGAACAACATCTAGATAAAATAAGATTTAGGGACGAAGAGGAAGGATAAAAAGTATAATAGTGAGATAAGCCGGACTAATACCAATACGGTACATTCAACGGGGTTGCAATGGATTGGTTATACTCTGAAGAAGATAAGGAACCTTATGATGGACGTTGGCAGTACTAGAATACGGACGCCACACTTTTTATCAATCTCAGTCACAGATGTATGTATAATAAACTAGATTGTTAACTAGTGATAAGAACTGAAATCGACGTCGGCCATTTTTGTGGGATTTATGTGTGTACAAAATAATATATATATATAAACATGTGATAAGGTTCTAATTCCCCCCGAAAAATGGTGACTTCAATTACCTCTATTGGCTGCATGTACACTTAGCAATCTAGTTTATTATATATATATATATATATATCTGTGATCACGGTTGTATAAAAAAAAAAGCTAAATTTTAACATTTTTTTTTCCATGAAAATGAACGTTTTCTTTCATGAAAATCGCTATCAACTCGATGATAATATGACCTAACCTCCTCGGGCCTGGTATGTGTAACGCCGCCTAGTCCATTTCTTAACGCGCTTACAAGACGGAGAAATAACATTTGGGGTGGTCGAGTCATAATGAACAATCGAATTCTCGGACAAGTGAAATCGATTCTCGCAACTCATGCGCGATTTTATGAAGTACAAATGCGATTAGCAATCTTGTTAAGTAAAAAATAACCGAACAAACCGCACGCTAATGAACACATAGAAAACGATATGTCATGTAAATGTTATAGCGCAGTCGGTGTAATCAATCACGCGGTCAACACAATCGCCTTCGGGGTACAAATATAATAGGTCCTGCGTTATTTTTGTATACAAAACACGGTGTTAAACTGACATTGGACGGTTGTAAGAAAAAATTAAAAAAAAAAAAACCTATTATGTTTGCCCTTAATGATTGATGTTACGACGGCAATAAAAACGTGCAAAAATCATAATTCGTAGTTCGTTAAAATTAGCACCGACAACGGTCGACGACTAAAATCATTAATCTTTGGTCGTTGCCATAAAAGATAATGTATTATTTGCCGTAAATTACTTTTATTAGTGTTCTCGAAAACGTTCTCATTGGACATCTTAATTAACCGGTCACTTAAGTGCTACTATATAACAAGAGGAGAGCCACCGCCAAAATCGATCCACGTTTGTCGACGCTAATTTAATAGTTCAACCGCCATTTTGATTTGTTGCCAACTTCCAAAGACGTTGTAAAACTGTGTTTTGTTTTTCTAATACTGTATTTAAAAGGCGGCAGGTTTTTGCTTGAAAAATGAGCGGTTAATCGTTTAACCGCCATTTTGATTGATTACAAAATTCCAAAGACGTTATAAAACAGTGTTTCATAAATTTTTGACAGAGGTATTGAAAAACAACTAACGAATTAAAACCCCCGAAAACACTAGTAGGAAATATAATTTTCATTTTGGTATGAAACACTGTAAATAATATTCGAATAATCACTTTTATCCTTTAGATTCCTGCTTCCTAGTTTTTAAAGACAAATGTCGTACACAAAAAGTAAGTACTGAGTAAATTAGATCAGAGAATAGATGAACATAGTATAGTAACATTTAAGGTATGACAACTTCTAATAACACCGCCAAAAGCGTTACGATTGTCACTTTTTCAAGTTTTCTAAACTTTAAGAAGGGTATTTAATATAGAATTTGTCCTTAACAACTTAACAACTCTAGCGTGAAATAGAGGCTGTAAGGTAAGTTAATGTTTTTTTTTTCACGTCCTCTAAACATTAAAATAGTTTTTTATTATTATTATATAAGCAAAGTGTACTGTCACTGAAATTCGGAAGTACTATGTGACATTTAAACATATGGTGTAATGTGTCAAGTCACACATAGTCAACTAACAGATAATCATTAGTGGTAATGAACGCCTTGATCAGTGTCGAACATGTCTTTAAAGGGTAATTAGCTAATTATACTTGTATAATATCGTTATACGTAATATTTAGATTGTAGATGTGTTTTATTTCTCGTTAAATTTATTTTTACCGTTAATTCGAACTAAACGATTTTTATATACAAAATATGCCTAGAAGAAAATCATAATTGAAATACCTACAAACTGTTGCCTTGATAATGATATAATATAACATGTATTACCTTTTCCATGTTTCATTTTTAATGTCTACTCATCGCTATAAATAAAATTTAGATACAACTTGACACTTTCAGGGACTAATAATTTACCTATTATAGAGTTAGATGGATTAGATGGACCTACGACGAACGAATATTAACTTTTAGAATAATAATAATTCTTAACCGTCAAAAAACAATAATTATACCGAAAAACTGCGGTCGTGCTAAAAAGGATTAGATTTTTTAATTTTACTTTCCTTGAACGGTGGATAAGGATATCCACTTATCAAATTTAGGCGAACGTCAAGGGCGTTTGCAATGTTAGCAATGGATTTCGCATTTAGCTAAATACTACGATGTAGTTGAAACATTGTATTTGCGCATATTTTTACTTAATAGCTAAATTAAAAAAATAACTAATTACGATATTTTCTATTGTTTAAAAGTTATGCGTACATTGGTATATGAATAAATAACATTTAGCATGTATTTTTAGAAGAACAGACAACGTTATTTTTTTTTCGATTTTAGCTAGCATTATTTTAATTGAAGAATACTATGTCTTGAGAAAATGCTGTAATCGTTTTTTGACGTGGATATGTCTAATGGCTGAATGGTCATTCTGAAAATTTGCCTATATAACTATATATTTTAGCTTCGACGAAATGCAGCGTTTTATAGTTACAGTGATTTAAGCTATTTGTCAACAATACTTGATGAACAATTATTTAAAAACACCAACTTCCAAAGTTTTTAAAAAACCACTAGTCATTCTCAATTATCACAACGATTTTCGGACAATAGTGTGATTTTTTGGTTTAGAGTATCAAAAAGCAATATTAGTCTTAACCTGGTTTTGAAAATGGTTGGATAGGTTCTGCGGCGTTTAATATATTTTGATGTAGAACGAAAAAACAAACACAACCAACAACCTTATTCGCAGTTAGCGTTACAATATTATGTTAGTCGAATATAATGATATTATTATAACTAATTGGTGTCGAAATATTATCTTCCATAATTTATACGACACGCCAAGGTTAAACGCAAATAAAAAATTGAATTGTTTTTTTATTCTTAACGGACGCTATTATCTTGGAATTTTCGCCGTGTAAATCGACAAAAGTTTTTTAGACAAAAAAATAACTTAATCGAAACTAATAGTTAGCACAATGTACACGAATTCGTCATAATATTATATCACATCAAGGATGTTGTGGAGAATATAAAAAGCCTATTGTATATTTGTATTGTTTTGAACGTACAACCGGATACATTAGATGGCCAACGTTAATTTTTTTTTATTAAACCGATTTCTTTGTATAGCAAGCCTATACTGAATATTAAAAAAATATTTCCCCTATAAAATCGTGGAAAACATTCTGAATGTCCATAAGTTTTTCAACTAGAATATGCGGCACACTTTAACATTGCCAAACTTCTCTAAACATAAGCGTAAGGACAGTAAAAAATAACTCAAGAAAATACTATTCAGCGTTCCCTTAGAACAGGGCAGCAAAAAAAACTATTTGTTGTTTTCCCTTTTCGAGCGCAGTGTTTGGAATTTAAGATTGATTTATGAACCTAATCAAAGTCAGTGTTTTTTTTACAAGAAATATTTTAAACAATTTAAAAACCAAAAATTAATTGTAAAAACGTCTCAAGATTTGGCACGAGAAGGGTAGAATACAATTAATAGAAAACTTCAAAGGTGTTTTTTTACGGGAAAACCTAAAAATCGATTTATAGGGTGTATAATCCAGGCTGCCATCAGGGCCGCCAACGACGCACGTTTTTCGTCGGTGAATATATTTATGTTTGTATTGTTGGAAATGTACACGGTTTAATATATTATTATAGTAATAATTAGTGAACTGTTATTTCGGTCTCGACGGTAAATGCGAGTCGCCGAGAAGAAAACAAAAATAAAATAATACGTTTCGAAAGTCAATTTAAAATTCGACACAGGACACCGCACGGTCCTTGGGTGCATCGATTATGATATTTTATTATTTGTTATTTCAAATTCAATAACAATTATTATTACCCGCGGTCGATTATCATTAAATTTACTATGAGTGTATGTAATATACTTGTCAATGTTGTAAAACTTCATAACTGGCGGATGTGATCCAATCCGGGGGCCCCTAGAGGGGGGGAGGCGAGAGATATTTTGGATATTAGTGTGTTTAAGGTGGTCACAGTACAACACACAGTGTGCATATATATTATATTTATTATAATATACAAACTTGACCTTTGATTGTTATCTCGACGATAGCGTGCAACTGATACACGTCTCATAACCGTGAAAATCTTTACATCCATTGTTCTATACTGTACTAAAATTCAATACACTGGATGTACTCGATTCTCACGGAAATTCGCACACACAATACTGTTGTTATGTGATGTATTTTTTGCCAACGATAATGACACTTAAAACGCAATTATATTATTAGGTATGTGTGTGTGTGCAATTTTCAGAAAACCTACCACGGTATGCATCTGTCGTTGCTTTGGAAACAATAATAATTATTGTTCCCTAACATAACAACTCTAGGGACAACTCGTCTAGTAAACGGTCGCCGCCCATATCAAACGACTAATAAATATTTTTCATACCTGATTGTACAAGCGCTTAATAATTGCCGGTTACACCACGTTCACGCCATAGTATGACCTGATTGCCGTTTGTAATATTTTATTATTGAGTTAACGAGGGTTTTCGGAATGGCAATAGCATACCGCCGATCGTGCTAAATCCAAACGTTTTAGCTCATTTTTAAACCGTTCAATCCAACAGCCAAGTCTAAAGTATAACAAGTAATTGTTATACTTATAATAATAAGTAATTGGAAATAGACTTACAAGTGCGAACCATTAGGAATGTGTTTAATAAGAAAGAAAAATATTAAACGATTCTGTTATCTTTATGTAAATCTTGTGATAAGAAAATCGAATACACCGGGGTTTCGACAGTTACCACTGTGGTAACCTACGCGAATTTCAATTAACTTTTTTAATAGAAATAAACATGTCATATGCAAAAAAAAAAACATAAAATGTGCTTATGGGCAATTGTTTATCTAGATTAAATAGTCATGCATTTTATAGGTTTATAATAAAATGTATTATTATGTAATTAACCAGAGTGGTAACCCAGATAACTGGGTAACAAGCGAGACGCGTTGTATCGTTTTTAGTTGATGAATATTTCAAAAAAAAATCCGCTGACTTCTAAAGGAAATCACCAAAATCAGATCCAAGTCGGTCAAAGTAAGTAATGTTTATTATAAAATATTGTTAATATTATTATTATGTTATTGTCGTCCGGGTACACCGATGCGTCATATCGAAACTTTGACAAAACAATTTCAGGGGCGTTCGCCGGAGGTCGTTGCGGACGGAATAGAAAGCATTCGGGTTTTTTGTACGAGTAACGTTGCAAATAATTAATTCGAAGAACGCTAAAATCGCAAATAACCGTTTTAAATTAAACAGATAGAATGGTTGAAAAAAATAAAATAATAAATTAATCACATGCAAGTCTGCTGCCGCCGAGGTGGTCTTAACGCGACCGTGACATAACCGCGTTCAGACGTTTGCCAGTGTATAAGAAATGATGGTTTCAAGTCTATGCTCGGGTTTTTTTTTTCACTTTCTACACAACGGCGTTATTCCCGTATAGTCAAACGCAAAACTAACACACAACTTTATTATGTGTATTTATATAATTAATAATTTGCATTATTATTGTTACGGTGGTCGAGCGACGCGTGTCGAGTGCCTAATGCCGTAACTCGTGATGATAATAATAATATCATACGGATGTATCGACAACTATATTTAAATAATAATAATTGCCGTGTGCTAAACCTGACCCCGTTTGAGGTGGACCCGACCAATAAAATAGAAGCACCACAGATGTATAATAATGAATTAGATTGCCAAGTGTACATGCCGCCAATAGAGTTGATAATCGATGTTACCATTTTCCGCCGTATTTGTGGGACCTTATCACATATTTATAACTGTTATCACTGTTGATAGCATAGAATCACAGATATATATATATATATATATATATATATATATATATCACACATAAATCCCACAAAAATGGCCAACGTCGAGTTCAATTCTTATCACAGGCTATATTATGAAAACAGCTCATTCGCGATGATATCAGTGTAGCCGCATGAAATAGTATGCGACTATTGTGTAGATATTTTTTGAAATATTATTGTACAAACTCCTTACCTAAATATAAGACTTAAACGATAACGGCTGACTATATTATCACGGATTAGATCATTTCTTTTTATCTGATTTGCGATGTAATCATGAAAATCGTACTATGCTCGAACCTGCGGTCACACTGATTTCATTTTTAGTCATGGTTTTTGTTTACACACCGAGTTACCTATCTGTTTTCATATAGTCTGTGATAGGTAGCTAGCTATGAAAATATAACCAAAATTAATTTTTAATTTGTATGTAATCTCCAACTATTATGGACTATTACCCTTTTGACTATTTCTAATCCCCAGTAACGTTATAAGGAGAGTTCTCGTCTATGTAATACGAGTAGTTGTTTTGGATTTTCCCATAACATCCCAAATGAGTAAAGGAAAATAAGATGTGGTACCTCATTGTATTCTTCAGGGTCATCTAACTAGGATTATCAGTGCTATTAGGGAAGAGATTTGGATCGAATGCGAAATAACTTGTAATGTGACTTGTTGAACAAATAAAGAAATGTATATACAGATAGATATTTACTAATCGCCCTTTGGCATTTGCCGAGTGTTACTTCATGACCGTTTCACAAATCCGGTTTGTTGTGAACGGCAAACGTTCAGTAGTCGCTGTGCCAGTGCACAAACCCAGAGAAAACTCAACGGTGTTTGTTTGCATATAGTTTGTATTCAATAGAACGTTATAATAATTATTATACTACGGTATATTGTTTTGTCAAAGCACCATGACCGAGTGTGTATGCAAAGACAATGCGCCAACATGTTTCAACTGTGTTGAAACGGCTCGACAACCGGTTTTGTGTAAGACGGTATGGGCAGTAATAATATCACTACAATAATAATAATATGGACCAAATAACAAACAAAACACATAATAACGACGATAATTAAAAACGCATCGTGGCCGGTACACCTAATAACGATGGTACGTATCTATTATATCATTATAAAGCTGGTATGAATGAGATAACAGTGCGTGTACCTATATGCGAAAGTAACTGGTCGAGTGGGTAATAATATCATCTACTAAACAGCTCCTGGATTGCCTTGGACAGTGCGGTAATAATATCCAATAACCACGAGGCCAATATATTAGAAAATATGAACATTTTTCATGTTGAATGAAATACCAATAAAGCCAGTTGCTAATATCGTTATACCAGATTGTTATTATTACTATATTGTCACGCTGATGGATTGAACGTGGCCGGCAAAGCGCTGTGCGGTATGTTATTAAATATTATTTTGTTAAAATACAAAAAAAAAAATTGTTTTCTTATTAAATTTACTTAAGTACAGACTTAAATACCGCTCACCTGTTCTATCATGGTATCCATTGACTGGACGTCGGTGCCGGCCGGATGACAGTCGGCCAGCTGATACCAAGCGACGAACAGGATCAAACACATGTACTTGAACATCATTTTCAATACCGGTCTGCTGTGAACACAATAACAAAAATAATAATATATTAGATTAGATTTACTTGAGCTACATATTTGTTATATTTGAGGCGCTCAGAAGCCAGACTGATTAACTCCAGAAAATGGCATTTTTCAGGACAGGCAGTTTAAGTTATTTGAAACAATGTATGTAAGTACAATTGCCAATTTTCTTAGCGCGCTCTAATGGTGAAAAATTCAACTACGGAGTTGTTTATTTGAAAATTATACACTTTTTTAATCCAACCATGCTATTATTCGCGATTTGAAAAAAAGTGCAGTTAATCGGTTTGGCATCTGAGCGCCTCATTTATCGCACGGTTAACATATTATTATAATAGCTGTAACTATTTTTTTTTTAAGTGGGTTACTAATCGGGACTTAACTATAAACGGCGTGCCTACCTATTAAAAACTGCCGTGTCACGTGAAAGTAAAGTAAAAAAATTGTCAATCCTGTTAAAATAGAGAAGCTCAATTTTTTTTTTTTTTTTTTTACCATAAAGCGAAATCGCTCGCCAAACAATTATTACGCAAGACGTCGTACCTAATGTCTCCGGACGAGATTAAAATAATTTAATTTATATATATATTCGTATATTTTAATACCTAATTCAAACGGGTATCGCAACCGTTGGGGTTTCGGTTGCCTAATCCGTAATATCGTTATACCAGATACAGCTAGTAAATATAATAATACAGCTAAAACGTATAATCATGCAGCTAATAAATATAATCATCGTCTTAAACCCCTTCCTTAAAACCCTCCCCTAAAAATGTAAAATTTCTGACCGCAAACAGCAGCAAAACCAAAGCGAGTTGAAGAGTCACAGAGAGTTAAAGGATTTGTGTTTTCCAACCGCAGCCAGATGTGGAATTATAAAAAAATTAAATTTTTTCTCAAAATATTTAAAATGAGCGAAATTTTTGTACATTTAAAAGAGTTTTACGCGAGGTAAGATTTAATTATTTAATAATAAAAAAAGAAAACACATAGAGCTGTCAAGCCGTCTAAAAAAACTGATGTTAAATGACTAGCCGTATGATTACTTTAATTTGTTTTTATTAATTGTTGGTAGGTATATTTATAACAAAACTTATTAAAAATGCAAAACAATTAACTAGTTTTTTTTAATTTCAAGTCGAATTTAATCAATAAGAATATACGACACTAAGACTTAGAGGAAGTCGTTTGTTTTATAATTTGTAAAACAATAAAAATAAAATTAACAAACGTGTGTCATTTTTTTCAAGTTTTCAGTCAGAATTGAATTCACAGGACAACACTGTTTTGGACATAATGTTTTTCAGACAATTAAAGTACGCTAACAAAAGACTGTTAACTTAAGACTGCAATAATTATAATCATTTTCTTAATAACCAGAAAAGTTTTCGCTTGAACTTTTTTTGCTAGTGACTTGTGAAATATTTCCAGATAGAACATTTGTTGACTTTGAGCTCATAACTATGAAATTTTTTTATTTATCCTTTTTTTTCTGCAATTTGTTTGTTGTTGTATTTACGGTTGCATAATATCGTCTTGGATCGAGTTTGGAAATGAAGTGAAGCGACCAAAAGAGAACGGTTTCGAAGGGTATGGCGCGATCATCGTGTCCGTGCGATAAGATACAATTACTATTATTATTAATTCCGTTGGAAACCCATTCGGTCGATAAAAGCCGACGAATAACATAATAATGATCCGATTATTATTAGTATCACATACCGCACTTAATGAACCGTACCTAGTTTGGTGTAAGGTCTACTGCCGCCCCGAGCCAACACTGTGGCGCAACATCTGAACTTAAAAACAAGTGGTTGTCGTTTTTATCTAAAATCGTCGACCGCCAATGCGCTTGGACCCGCACCGGAGTGGTGATTTCATTAAGAGTGTAGTTTTTTATCCCCCACAGCAATTGTCAACCTTCGGCAAAGACAATAATTAACATATAATTACATTCGGATGGAGATAAACGTTATAACGGTTCAAGGCATTAGCTGCATTATACAGCGGGATCTAACATGCAAGGGCCCTTTGTTTTCTCAGACGAGAGAAGCGGTGAGTTCTGATCAACGTCCAACACTCCAACGGCTACTACCTAAATACCTGTGGGCATACCTGGCATAAGTAGCATTTTGGAGTATCTACAGGGTGATGAATATGACACAAAGGCCAAAGACGAGTAGTGCCGTGTAAAGATTCGGCTCAACAACTGCAGTAACAAAACGTCATAGGTTGCAGGCCCCGGGTATGATATTATCGGGCGGTGATGAAAACACTTGAGTAGTGGAACGTATAAAAACTGGTAGAAATACTAGTGTTTTCAAACTTGTCGGGCTGCTGTGGTTTTTACGAAACTCGTGTGTATAATATGTTATGAGCCTTACATATTGCTCCATCGGCGGCGGCGGCGGCGGCTTAAAGGTAACGAGGTCGCACTTCATCTACAAACGCTCTCTCGTGCCCGGTATGGTACGCGCTCTCTGTCTAATAGTAGTTATACTATACCTAATAATAATGCTAATGATGATAGGCATAAATTTGTAAGATTCATATATGCACTTTTTGAGGTTTTACACCGTTTTCGCCAGCCGAGATGACAAGATATACGCGCAGTAGTACATCACATTGTCTTGAAACGGGCAATAAGACCGCCGATGAGCTGGTCGTGACTGCTTAACCGAAAACAGCTGTACAACGCTCGCTGTTTACAATGTAACCTGTAAGACTCGTGAGTGTGTATGCGTTTTTTTTTTGGGAAGATATTCATTTTTTAACAGCTCAATTCCGCCGCCGGCACGGTTGCGCAATACCGCTTTGGCGGAGCTATCATGCGGTCAAAAGCAACGCTATATATAGTGTGTAACATAGCTGTTTTTTTTATAAAATAATAATAAAAAATAACTGAAAAACATTAAATCGTAGATATGTTATCTCTTATCATTTATCGTTTATCTCTTATCACTTATATCTTATCTCTTATCTCTGAAAGTGAAAGTGTAACACGAAAACGACGACATGAACCGTTAAAATAAAAGACTAAAGGTTCACAATGGCTTGTTCCACGATGGTCCAGGGCCCGTCAAAGCGGCTAAACTAAAATAAATGCGACTGTGGTCAGAGGATGTGAAAATGTTGTTTAATTTTATGATTGCGACGCGACCGGGCTGATATTTTTCGCTCTGATAACGTCATCAGCCAATGCCGAGGACTGTAATCCGACGGAACATGCTAACGATCTGGTTGTTTTGCTTTAAACGCTCGAAAATCATGCCCAGTGTCGCAACGGTTTCCCAACCGCAGACGTCATCGTGTTGTTCTGTTGTCATATTGTATATAGGTTTTCCCTGTAACGAGAACTATGAGAAAACAAACAAACAACACCGGTTGCTCAACGATCTAAGATGCATAACTAGATCCGATCTGGATCACAAGAGCGATTTGAACAGAACAATTAGGCGCAACGTCTATTAAGGAACGCGTAGGCCACGGTAGACTCCGATCCTTCAAACACCCTTCCTTTTCTTTAAGGGTTCTCTAAGAGACTTTAAATTCTAAACATTTACACTCGTCTTGTTTTTCTATAGTTGGTAATGTAATAAGTAATAACAGCCACGAACGACCAGTACAAGCAATGCAAACAATAATGAGCTCGCATCAATCGGTATGATTGATTGCCATTATATGTCTTTGTTTCCAACTAACCGAGTCCGGTAAAAGCAACCGGCCCTCAACCTAAGACTTCGACTGTCTCGACTACTCACCTACCTAATCGGCTGTTTTGCAATAATTATTATTCGTTAATCATTATTTTTAATCCCCGACGTGCCGTGACCTTCCTTGCTTTTGTCGGAATATCTGTAGACCACATTGGCCGGTTTAGACCACAATGACTTGTTGGTCTCAACGCCATTGTTCTTTGCAAAGTCTTGAGGGTTCTCTGGCACGGGTTCTTCCTGACTAACCTGGTTTCCAGCAGCTTTTTATCTAAGACTTCCTCGTGCAAAATTCACAGGATTTTCAATCTTTTGGCGTTTGCCAGAGGAAATGTACTAGACATTGATGATATTGTTTGAACCGCGGTTTAGTTGTCTGAATTCACTAATCGCTCTCTCGAGTATCTGTACCTTGTAAATATGTACAAACCTTAAAAAAAAAACAAACACTATTGCCAAATACCGACCTCTTTGCTTTTATTACACACACATGCGGGACTAGATTCTCACGTGTGCCATCATCATTCCTGGGCACGCGTTTTGGTAATATATGTGCCTATTATGGGTATTATTGTCCGTCATATTGTTATTAAATCGTTGTTACCGTATAACAGCGTAATCGTGTGTGTGTGTGTATAAAAACGGTGTACGGGTTAAAACGTGAAGGTCGTCGATCAAACGGAGATTGAGGCGAACCACGTTTTCCATTCAGGAGTAAACGAACACAGAAAGTATTGTGTAAACTACGTACAAACGCGATTAGAACCATAATTGACCGACAACTAAAAGGTTTGGACCCAAATGTCTACTTTGCATGTTAGAATCACATTGTTTGATCTTACACGCATCTTACACTCATGGCCGAACCTTTAAGGTTATCAGTGAGGCTCGGAATTCCATATATCGTGGATTTCCGGATTCGATGGGGGGAGATTTTTATTCGTTTATTTTTTTTTTTTTTTGCTGGATTTTCGAGTGCCAGTAGCCCGGCGGGTAGCCAATGAAAAATAGTATACTTGGTTAAAGAATTACCGTTTTTGAACAGAACAAGATAAATAATTATTATTACAAACGGCGTGGCAGACGGCAGAGTGGGCACGATCGAATGCGGAGACGTCGGGTCGACGAATAATCAATAGAAAGTAAAATGCAACACACACATAAGAGAAGGTTCAGACTGGCCACCGACCTAAACAGTGTGTTGTGTTTATGATATAACAGTAATTTCAGTTTCAATCCACTTTCCTTTTTACACATTTTAAAACGTGTACCACCTTGAGTAACTCGTCCTCCTTACCAGCCGGCCATCCATACCTATAAACGCTACGCCGGTCGCCGGTCATCCCGCCACGCCAATAACACACCACTGATTAATACTCTCAGCCATTCAGTCCTAAGACCGTGGATAAAAAAATGTCAACCCCCCTGTTGGGGCGAGGGGGGAGGGAGAATTGAGTCCTGAAACTATTGTCAGATAAACAACTATGGCAATGTATAATTTCGGTTTATTATTTTACTACTAAGTATACAACAACAGCAACTGTATTGAGTAAATAATTTTTAGTACTTCAACGTGAACATTTCCAAATACGTGTATACTTAAATCCTACTTGTAAAAATCATTTTTTTCCCCCACAACACTGTCCGTATTATTGTTCAATCAGATAAAACCAAACAAAGTTTTAAGGTATCCCGAGCCCCCCCCCCCCCAAATCGGATCTCCGCCGATTGGTTTTGGTTTGTTTACATTTGCTATTAAGTGCTTCGCCTGATCCGTACCTATATTAGGGGGGGGGGGCGAGTCGGAAGTACTTAAACCGGGTAAGACACAGTCTTCTTGATGGTGAAAATCCGCGAGGTCCCATCGAAAGTAGAACGTAACGCCGGTGGACGTAAAGGCGCCAATAGCGGATAACGGTAAAAACTACACGCGTTATAGGAGTCAAACGAGTTTTATGCGATAATAAAAAATAAAAAACTACACACATATATTGGCGTTATGTAACAGTTAACATTATTATTGCCAAGTCCGTCGGCGCGCCGATACTAACAGCTAATCCGCCGGATTATTCGAGAAAAATTTGAAGAAAAAATGTCTTGTGTGAATCTTATCGTTCGACCCTAAGTCGTGCCGTTGCGATGCGCTCAAGGTCTTCGGTGTCCTCCTCAGGTTCAACGGTCGTGCGGAAGAAGCCAACACCGGAACAGCTGTCAGGTCTTGTTAAAGCAAGCAAATTTCCTTGTTATCCTAAATCGTCGAGGAGATTTTTTTCTAGCTGATCGCCGAATCGAGTAAATTCTAAGATATTGTTATTGATGTCCACTTTAAATGCGAGTAACTCAAAAAGTATACGTCGTTCAAACCGGTCACTCCGTTCAGTCGATGCGCATCGTTTCGCTTAGACGGGTGGATTAGTAAAATGTGTTTCACTTAAATATTGAATACAATATTTATTTTTATTTTTCATAACCGAGGGAATTACCCGGACCAGACGTCGGGGACTGCCGCCCTTGAACGCCACGCCGACAGTCGAACCGATTACCTAGTATGTGGTTACCCAATAACTTATCTATATATATATATATATACGTTACCTACTTACGAAAAAAACGTCTAGACTATAGGTAGAGGAGAACGGGCAAGGCTGTGCAAACATGAAATGTTTAAGAAACTAGTTTGTATTAAGTTAATTGAAAAAAAATCCAACTTAACTGTAATATAATTTTTTTTAAGAGCCCCAAATTTGTTTTTGAACATTACATCTATTAAATAACACTTTAAGTTCGAAATTGTAGGAAAAATGTAACTTTAACCTCACTGAGCCTTGACTGAGTCTAGACAACGTGGAAAGCTTTTAAAAATAACAAATACTTTAGCCCGTTTTCTAATTATCATTCTATTTCCGTGGACGCGCGCGACTCGTTCAATTATTATCGAATTAATCACAGTCTAATGATGTGTGCTTATAATAGCTGCTACCTGCACATTGCAATATAGTGTCAATTACATAATTAACAATATTATTTACTGACAAAGTGTGCGTACAGATAATAATTAATACCTCAAAACTAATTACGCCGATGCAATGGACGGAAACGCATTTATGTAACAAACTATTACACAAAAATAATACGCCGCCATTTGGTAATTTCATAAATAACAACGAAAAACACAGAAACCCGTTTCGGTTGAAAATTATATTTCTTAGATATGTTAAAAATTTTTAATTCAACGAATGTGCTTTGATTTTTTAGGTCATTCGTTTGGTAATTAATTGGTACGTTTAAATTTCATTAAAATTTTGCTAACGAATATATCCTTGAATATATTTTTTTTCTTCAGAATTTACACAATCGGAGTTAAGGTTAAATTTGTTAAGAGTTCAATGCTTTAGCGTGCATTAATGTTCAGCAAATACTCTCCTCCGGTCGTTCGCTGGCAAACAATTTAATAACACTTATAATGTCTTCGAGGAAAACGCGCTATTCAATTAGCAGACGGGTAAATATTAGTACTCGGACGATACATTAGTTTTTATAGCTTTAAAAAAAGATTAATAAATAAAAATCACTTTGCGTTTTGAAAAAAAAAAACAAGTATTGACAATTTATTATTACTCTTTCTTTGACATGCTAAAGAGCAAGTGTGTTATTCCGTATCATAAAGATATTATGTATGGCCTATGCGACGATTATTTGACTGTTTTGTCTATTTAATTAGAGACAATAAGACTTGTGAAGACGTGAATTAACCACATTGAGCTCAGTCAATTGATTCGAGTTGAGTTATAAATAACCGAATTTACTTAGACATCAAAAACGATCTAAAAGGATTGAAAGCGGTCGATTTTTGGAGGTCTTAGACCTGACGAAATTATGTCTACTTAAGATGGTCCGATTTCAATTTAGTAAACATATTTTATGCCTCTTTTCAAGATTATTGTGGGAATTGATTTTTGATATTTTAATTAGAATTGCGTTTAAATCCTGTTTCTGTTCTCAAATTTTGAATTTTCCCATTACTTTTTTTTTTTTTTTAATTAAATAAAACGGTTTTCAAAAAACGATTTTAATAATAACTTGGAAAAAAATTCGATGAGCTTAAATATTATACATAGAACTAAAACCAAACTGTTTTAAGTACGGGTAACGGTTGTCAGGCTCTTAGGTCTAAATTGGTTTCTTATATATTGCCCGTAAAAAACCCCTTAAAAACCGCCCGCTTTCAATCACATTAAACTTTAATGTTAAAAAAAAAAAAAAACAATCGCACGTTGTTAAAGTCATGTCAAGTTTTTCCAACTGGGACTTATCAACGCATTAATGGCCAGCCTTGTAAAAATAAAAATTGTAATGGCCAGAGAGGCTTTAACGCGGTGACTTTAACGCAGTGACTTCAACGCCCGTTAAGGGGTTTTGATTTTGTTGTTTTTTCTTCCAAACGCATCAACGTTGGCGGTGATGTTTAATACGATTTAAAAAAAAAATAATTAAAAACTAAAGGCGATTTTCGTGTAATTATCATCGTTGTTAAACAAACTCACTTGGTTTTTTTTTTTTTGTCGGGGTTCGGACGACGTCGGTTACACGCGGCTGTCAGCTGAGCGTCGACGAACTGATGTCGGTCTAGTATTCACAACGTCTACACGGGCGCGCACTGGCACATTTCAAGAGTATCAGCACCGACTACGACGATGACCTAACGCGCGTTGTTACCTTGTTATTAATGCGGTCGGATTTATAAAAACCGTATAAGAGTGAATCTCCTGTTGCGGTCACCGCCGCGTAGAAGGGTTCCCGTGGCCCGTGTGTCGCGCGCGTGCCGTAGGAGGGGCGCTGACCAACACAGCACGGTCGCGCGCAGTGAAAGTAATAGAGGAAAAAACCATATATTATTAATGATAATAAATCAACCCACAACGACCAAAAGGTAACAGCTCGCCGTCGTCCGGGTCGGATCCGTTACACCGAACGTTTTATGATTTTTTTTTTCTTTCCCCGGTCCAAGGTCCCCGACAAACGCGCGAGGGTGTTAAAAAAACCATAGTCGCGTGAACCGCGCTTTTAAATCTAATAGTGTTACAGAGAGATATTATTACACGTGGGAGAAAGACAGAGCCAAGTCGGGCACACGGTGTATATATATATATATACCTTATAAACCGGATTGCTTAATGTACACGTCGCCAATTGAGATAATAATCAAGTCATAATTTTACGCTATTTTGTGGGAATCAGAACCTTATAAAATGTTTACAACAATTGTAAGTCAAGTTGATAGCACAGAATCACAGATATGTATATATTATTTTATACATAGACATATAGCCCAAAAAAATGGCCAACGTCGACTTCAATTCTTATCACCGGCCAGCAGTCTAGTTTGTTATTTATATTTGTTGTTGGGCATAAGTTTCAGTCTGCTATTTTTGCCTAAACTGGCTTTATCTCTCTCTCCAATATCATAACGTGTACTCTTTGATTTATCGTTATAGTACATTGTCTGCCTGTCTATGATTAAGTCGAGTTTTCGTGGGAAAGTCCACTCGAGCGCTGAACGTTGAACCTATTAAGTATAATGTCCTTGGAGCCTTGTTGTCAAGGGAGACTTCAACGCAGGGTATTCCCAGTGTCCGATTTTTTGGTTTGAAAGTAAATTGGATTCGTCGAAAGGACAACTGAAGTAAACCTTAAATCGCTCTAAAATGGTTTTTTTCATGACTCAAGTACACTCCAGAACTTTCAATTGATCCTTTGTACCGTTTTAGTTAAAATGATTTAACCGCTGGTTGATGTTACTCTTCAGTCGAATTACACATTTGATTTTACGATTTCTTGGTTAACATTTAATTGTATTTTAATCACAGTTTAAGCTTAAGACATATTATACGGTCAGTTAAGGACTTTAAACTGATATTAGTATCAATTAGCTTAAGTTAGCTCACACAGTTTAAACTGCAGGCAAATTGTGGTCGGTTAAAGACTTTAAACTGAGATTAGTATAAATTTATCAAGTAATATTACATTTTACTAGAAGAAAACATCTACTAGTATTTTATAATACTAAATATTCCTATTAACAAGTAGTTGTTTTAATTTGATTTAATCTTGTTTAAACTTTTAATCGAATTATAATGATGAGGTATAATTTATATTATTTGCAGTTAGTTGTTTCAATGCAAGTACCAATTTTATTTCAAAACAAATACCTCACATAACTATTTTATGTTCTAGATGATTGGTAATTATGTTAAATGATGTACCTATGCTGCTTGTACTGTATCAAAAAAAAAAACAAAATAAAAATGAAACTAGTATGTGAGCACTATTAATATAACATAAGGAACTCAAACGAGTGGTTTATTAGTATATTGAATTAATTTTTAAATAACATAAATTATTATTAGGTATCAAAATATGTAAAAAATAATTACAAATTGTTTGCTGGTGGTATTTTTTTTAGAGTTTGGAAATCATTTTAACGTTTGTTTAATTTTAAACCGTTCATATTAGCTGTTGAACAGCTGATAAAATTGCCCTATAACTGTGTACGTTATATAAACCTACTTACACCACTATTGTTTTAACCTTCGCTGTGTATTTCTCTTGGCAAATCTTGACTGTCTCTCCTTTCCCTCCCACCCCTCGTCCACCGCGCCCTCTCACTGCGCTTATGATAATGACCATAAGCCATAGCCGTTGGCGTTGCATCAACCCAGCCAGGTTTACCGGTCACTCTCGGTCTCACAACTTCTGTCGTTTTGATCTAATTATTCTCCACAAAACACACACATACATACGAATGCACAATATATGAATAATATATGCATTATAATGCATACGATTATTATATAGTTGTTATTACATCACACACACACACAGTTGACCACACAACAGAAGAACTGGTGTTACAGTCAGTCTGTGCCTACCCTAAATGTTGTCTTAAGTCTGTATTAGCGATTGACTCTGATTGTCTAAACCAACGGTGTGCCACTCAAAAAATTATGTAGCAAAGTCCCAAATTGTCCCAAATGAAAACTCCCATAAGAGAAGTATATTTTAAAGATAAGTATACCGTTTGTATGGTGTTTTAGACTTAAGGCCTAAAATATATAAAATTAATAATACATTTTAACGTTAAGGCTTAATTATTGTTACCCACAAAGAAACTGTATATTTAAATAATATGTCGTTAAAATATTTTTTAGTAATATTGTAAATATATTTTTTTTTTTACATCGTGTCTTGGCTAAAAATGAAATTTAAAATAACACAATTATTCCAATTATAACTCCTAAACATTTAATTTGTTCATAGTAATATAAGGAATTGTTTTCAAAACATGTTTGATATTATCCTTATAGAACGAATTATGATGTGCATATATTTTTTAAAATATCAAAACTTAAGTACTTTAAAATATAATATTGTTAAAATATATTTCATTTGTACAGGTTAATAATATTTCCTTGATATATTATACATTGATTAGTGTTATGCATAATTTTATTTTCATAGGTACTATTTTCTACCAAATCTTTAGAAAATGTTATAAATCGATGTGTGGAACTGTATGTGCTCTTAGGACACAGCTAAAAAGTAGTTTGGCAGTATTTACAAATATTATCATTTTCTTAGTAAAAAAGCTTCTCCTATACCAGATTTGAAAGACAATATTGGGCCAAGACAGAAATAATTGGTTTGTATAATAATAATATGTATATTGTAAACTTGCACTATTTTTACGGGCGGAATTTTTGTCTGGTTTTTTCTAAACAATACCCTATTCCTATATGCATATATTTTATGATAATTATATATATTACACTGGTTTTTTTTTCATGTTTAAGCAACACCAGATCGGTAGTCGGTCCGGTATGATATTTGTTTTCTTCTAATCGGTGAGATGTTGCGTTAACCGTGTCGACGAAACGATCGGACGATGACTTTAAGAAAAAAAGAAAAAATGCAGAAATACTTGTCCGTTAAAGCGTTAATATAGGGATTCACACGGTATACCCAAACACGCCTACAACAGTGTCATCGCGACAAGCTTAATAATATCGTAACTATTATTTAATACCCAATACGGACACAATATAGTAATGGGCTAAGATAATGTTCGGATGATAACCGCGCACTTTCGTTTTTGATGGTTCGCAAAATAACGCAATGTCATAATAATATTATTATTGCACCGAAACCACAAGACATTTCCAACTAAGTGTTTCCGCCTCGACGACGCTTATTAGTAGTACTTACCTTAGCTGAGCTGTACAATAGCATAATGTAGCTATAACTTTATTACCCGGTTAAATTTACAGTAAAATATCGGCGGCAGTTAAGGAAATAGCAAATTTAACGATTCGTGGCAAACACCACAAATCCAAGGAACTTTCCACATTACATTTGAGAGGACCGCCCCGTTGCAATGGTATAGTGGATCTTATTGTGGGGTCTTAGGCAGATTTTTAGTTCAGGTTCATCCGGCCCGGTGATACTGCGATGATATTGTTAAGGTCTAAATGCAAATCAGTTCTGTTGGAAAGTTTGTTATTTCATATTATACGTAGTTAACTTGTGTGGGTTTTTCTGAACACTAAAAATTTGGCATTCGAATGACCGCATAATATTGGTTTCGATAGCGGATGCAGTGTATAATTATTATTCTATATTTGTTGGAAGAGTAGTAGGCGGCCATGTCGTCAACAATAGATAGAGCATATACTTTTTAAACACCACAAAAAGTAGGCACCTAAAATACATCAATGTACAAATCATAATGTACAAAGTAAAAGTTGCAAAAGAGCACGTTTTAAGATGGAAAAGTTTTTAATACAAAACAGTTGTGTTCATTTCACATGGAACGACCGCGTAATGGAAAACTAACAAAACTAGTTTGTTCATATCAAATCGATAACGAATATTTAAGGCTAAACGAATTACAAAATTGCAATCTTTATCAATATTTTAACGATCCGTCGTCGAATCGACGGGCCGATAGATCACAGGGCGATCCGTACTTTGATTGCCCAACTAAATTCCGTATTAAATCTAACTGAACCTTACCGTGTAGAAAAACTCTTAACCCTGTACCACCGAACAAGGCTAGTTATTTTTAACGCTTGAATTTCTAGTCCACTCGGTTGTGTAACACACTCATAATGTGATTAATCGAATTACACGCCGGAATGGCCTATGAAACGTGTATTTGTATAATTTATACATCAAAATAGGCTAATAATTATTAAACGTATTAAATTAAAATTTTGTTTAGATTTAAAATGAAAAAAATACTGTGTAAAATAACGGATTAAATAATAATATAAATACAAACTTGTTTTAATATTTCTATTTTTTTTTTTTTTTTTACTAACCGTGAATCAAAATGTATAGTGTCTAATATGTTATTAATGTATTAGATAAATAATAATAATATTGTGCAGATTTTGGGTGTTTTCACTACCCGTAGGTACGTTTTGTGTGCAAAACTTATGCAACAACAGCGTTGAATGCGGGTTATTATAATTATATATTATATTGTAATCTATTACATGGACTTGTGTATATAATATATACCTACACACAATCATTTATTTGTTTGAGGTAAAAGTAATTTAATGTTTTTATGGGTTACATTAAAGTATAACATACAGTCATACAACTCTGCCGTTGGCTATTCCACTACTTAGGTTTGTGTTGTTGTTGTATGCAAGTATGACTACCAAACCCCTATGGTTGT